TACATTATATGTATATGTACTTCTTCATTTCTTGGTTAGATTAATTCATCATATATGTATGCATGTGCCTGATTAATATCAATTTAACGCTACATTTCGACTCGATTCGATCTTTTCAGTACTACTTTACTTATTCGTATTCACGTTCCTGGCGATGCAAATAATGCCGAAAGTGCTCGATATAATATTGCCCTTGAACGAATCGCGGCCGTGCAAACTTTTGGGTTTGGCCACGTTGTTTTTCGATGAAAATGAACACTTTGTCGCGATATACGTGCATATGATAGTGGCGCTATTAGTCGAAACAACCACGATATTGGCTACAGAGACAACGTGTATTGTATATATGCAACATACTTCCGCATTGTTCAAAATTACAAGGTAATGATTGAGGTGAGAGAAAGTGACCAAAATGTATTCGGAAATTCAATTTTGCAAACTGAAAATGAAGAAATATATTAAAGCGACATTTCATTTACATTCGTTATTTTTGAGAGATGGCATGCTTTTTGCGAACGTACTATTACTATTGCGTACTATTGCAGCCAAGATTATTAACACGCGTACTTCATTGTTACAGCTTTCGCATAGAGAACGTATTCGACTACGAACTGCGTGTCCCCATCTCGGACAAAAATATGGTGCTACAGGCAAATATAATTGACGCAATAATCAGTCATAATAAGGCTATCGAGTAAGTAGCTCCACGTATATACTGTTATCATTATTATTTCGTGATTGAGATTATCAGAGTAAAGAAACCACGGTAAAGAAATTAAACAAAGTCTACATGACGCATGATTTATACGAGGTTTTGCTTTCAAAGATTTTTTGAATATGTACACTCCACCTTCGCGTCATCTTACTTCATCTTGAATGGGCTTGGTGTGTGTTCTTTAAGTATCAACATGTTTCGCGTGAGTGTTATATAATTTATATAATTTATTGATTATACCGATACATAAAAAATACACGCATTGTTCCGCCTATATTTTATGATTTATCTTATTATCGCGCATTACGCGTGCGTGAACTATTCGTCATTGTGAAAATATTTTCTGCTTAGTTGTTAATTCGTGAACCAAAATTTGTAAAATATGTCCTGCAAAAATTATGTCACACATTGCATTAAATATTTAATTCCATTAAATATATTTGTTAATGACGAATTGCGCATTTTTTCCGCAAATATTCGCGCCTTCCCATTCTGCAAGCACCTATATTGCAAAATGTACATCGAACATAACGCAGAAAATTGAGGGATTTCATCATATAAAATGTTTTCTCGCGCACAACAGTTTTTCCAGGCAAGTCTCACTAACGAGTTGAAGGAGGCATTTGCAATTGGCTTGTTCATCATCTGTCATTTTCTTTACATGTTCACGATCAATTTTATAGCACAGAGTGTAACAAATGTCAGTTTCGAAATATATTGTACAACGTGAGTATCATTCGTCGTTGAAAATGTGTTTGGAATGATATGAATATTTACGAGTAATGTGCGCGTGAATTATACGTCTCGTGAATTTGAGATTCAAAATTACGATCAAATTTCTACGAATAAGTGAAATAAATAACAATAAATATCACATGAATATCACTCATAGATGCAACTTGCCTTGGTATATGTTACCGGTGCGATTGCAAAAGATGATTCGCCTGATAATACGAAGAAGTATGGTAGGCTGTAAATTTACATTGGGACTTTTTCGCGAGGCGTCGCTAGAATGCTTCAGCTCGGTGAGCGACACATCAAGGATTCACGTGGAATGTTATAAAACGGTAGCAGACGGCATATATAGATCGGTTAATTTACTGGTTTTATTCATTTTAAATTTTATTATTTGACATTCATAAATGTAATTGTTATATCAAATTAAGCACGACGTGAAAATATTCGACAATTGAGCCCGCTATCGTTATTACGCAAAAATTGCTTTATTTTGGCACTTTAATAAATATAAACGGAGCTGATAAAATCGTGTCGATTTTAATACAACGATCTGTATTCTAGGTCGTGAGTGTCTCCATGTCGTATTTCACGGTTTTTTGGTCCATCCGCAATTAACGTTCTTATGAATGATAACGCAAAAAATATTCCGAAATGCTTTTCACGAGAACGACAGTCGCCTGCTAATTGACAGTTGAAATGCGAGATCACGGATCATCCACAGCCGGGGATTCATGATTCATTCGCGAAAATAGTCGATTTGATACTTAGAATTCATTATAGTACGACGATGCTAATAATATTATTATAACTTGTCACCAAACAAATTATAAATTGCAAAATGCATGTGACATATTTCTTTTTTTTTCTCTTTGTTCAATCTCCGTTTTTCCTGTATATGAAGAAGTCAGAGGGACTTCAACAAGTGGTTTTTTTTAATAAGATACATTATTTGGAGCATCTCGAAAGATAATCCAAATATTCACATACACTTATTGATGCTAATTAAAACAGGAACGCTATTGAACTATTTAAACTTCATATTAGTTACACCTTCTACTTTCCTATTTAAGGCGCCAGCATCGTAACATGAAATACGTATTTCAATACGGAATTGACACTTCATTGATCTCTAATATTGGCCAAATGTATACGACATCTACATGTGCGTTCAACTGCTCGACAAAATTAACGTGTAGCAGTCGCGCAAATTCGAATTCGCGCAAATAACGCTTATTTGGCCGAAATTTTGACATATTTGATGCAATAAGAAACAATTTTATTGATGCGAACGTATACCTTTATATACTGAATTTTTATTGACAGATGGTAAAACTAGAAAATTAAGCTTGGTTTAGACATTAGAGTTATCGAAAGTTCTAACTATAGCTACTCGCCGCTAGATGGACGGAACGTTCCGATTTACCTAATAGTTTTGAGCCGTGGAATTCGATAATACTTGTTGATATTACATTACATGATGAGAATGTATAAAAAAATTATTTTAAATCGAGAAAACGCAATTATACAGTCTATTTTGTTTTTCCTGAACATAGCAAAAATAGGTCTTTTCGTAACATCTTTCTTTCACTACATATCTCGAAAAAGATCACATGTATAGTAAAAAGCAAAACCAAAGTTAATAATATCCAAAAATCAATTATTTTTTATGTTTTACATATTTTTCCTTTCAGTTGTGCATTGTCCCTGGTAAAGACATCAAATAGAATTTTCAGATGTACAGCATTTTATTGCCCTAAATATGAGAAATAAATATGAGAACGTTTCGTTTGAAACGCTATAAAATAAGTTTGAAACACTTTAAATTAATATTAAAAATAAGATGTTAATTTACGCACCCTGCAATGTGTGTTAGTATGTTCAACAAGAAAGTGTGAGTAATAATCTGAAAAGAATAAAAGACAAGGTCAAGTTATTTCTATAAACGAAAATAGAAGATTTTTAATAATGCGCAATAACTTTATACTAGGTTAGTTGATAAGTTCTTAGTATGAAAATGAAAAAAACATTTTCTTATCAAAACTCAACTTTATTCTTCAACATAATCTCTTTTTAGTTCAATACACGTACGAGTCCAACGAGTTTCTAGCTTCTTTAAGGTTTCCAAATAATAAGTTTTTAAACCTCCAAAATATGTTGATTTGCGCCTGTTTTAACCTATTATGATAAGAACCCAAGTAACAACTCTTTATTCAACAGATTAGTTCGTTTAAAATTATCGTCTCGGTAGACACACAGAAAAAAGAACATTCTCATTTTGATACAATCCGTACTCTCAAGTTGTACATGTTAAAATGAGATTACATTGTGTTGAATAAATGAAATTTGCTTACACGAAGAAATTGCTTCTATTAAAAATAAAATATTTTCGTTATTCAAGAATACTTTTTTGAATTGAGAATTAAGAATATTGAACAGAAAAAATGCTAATTTTCAAACTTAAAATTACAATATCTTTAACTTGAAATTACATTATTTTTATTTGAATATATCTTATTCTTGGAAAACACAGTTTATAATATTAAACTCAATTATTCGAAGTTTTCATAACATTTTTTTTATTTCAAAATTGTGGCAATAACATCACTTGAGAGAGAATATATCGGCGTAGGAGTATAGATAACTCAGTGATAAGAGCAGATGCCCAGCAAAGGTCCTGAGTTCAAGTACTAATTCGGCTCCGGTTTCCAGATTTTCTCTCCGACTCTTATAATAATCAGTTCTTATATTTATAATCATTTTAAGTTTATCTTTAGATACTGTACGGAGATCGCTTTATTAGCAATAAAACTGAGGATGAACCTTACCTTACCTAGAACAATTTTAAGTATAAGATCTGATTTATATTATTAAATGAAAACGTTCATATTATTAGAAGAAAATTAACGTGCATTTGATTCAAATATAGAAGATATTCAGAATAATATATTTATTTTTCTGATATAATTATTAAAAAATACCTTAACAAAATTTATTATTTTCAGAATTACCGTATTATGTTTATTAGTGGGCCGTCGTAATATTGCAGTACAATTATATTATTGTTGAAATTCAGAATTATTAAATTTTTATAAAAATATTATATATTCTTGATTACTTATGAAACAATGATATCGATTAAAGTATGCAACCTTGAATTGGTACTTAATTTTTTTTTGTAACGACCAGGAATCGCATGATTTTACGGAAGGTATCGGCAGGTGTTAACACCTTTAATATTATTGTTATGCTGGATGTTTCTGATTACAACTTAACCATGTGTCCGTTCGTGATTTACATCAAATTGACGCGTGATTATATCACTCAACATACGAATCCTATTGTGCTGAATAAGTATAAGAGACAAACACGGAAATAAGGACAACGTCTAGTGCTTACTTGTCGCCGAAATCAAGCAGTCTGTAAGTTGCGGATTAATAGATAGAAACGGGCGACAGAGTCGCTTGACATTTAGACACATTGTAAAGCCTCATATACATAACTCGAAGAGAAAAATGGTAAGGACGCAGGTCGCTAACTCAAACCCAAAATGACGATCAGCAGAGAACTGATTATCATTTTGCGTCTGCTTTTGCGACCTGCATCTTGTAAGTTAAGTAAACGGAATTTTAAGCTTGACTTCAGCAAAGAATTATGTCGCAGGTCACAATGCTTGTTATTTTTGCACTCTTCGCTGTAACGAACGGCACAGTCGTGAGGCATATAATTCAATACCCTCATATAGATCGTAAGTAAACCTGCGATTGTTGCGCGAAATAGTTTTGTCGAACAAAAATGAACATCTATATCTCAGTTTTCTTTCGCGAATAGAATCCTATTCTATGGGAGATGCATTTAATTTTAAGTATTTATCTAGTAGATCTGTCTTGTCAGAGAAAAACATCATGTTCTCTGAAGCAAATATAAGATACATTTAAAGCACTTTATCTACATATGAGGAATAAATTACTAACTCAGTGCATTCTATACTTAGTACCTCTCCTGATCACATGCAGTCGTCACGAACGGCTTAAATATATAGAAAGATGTTTAAAGTCGAGCATAGAATCAATGAAACATTATTTGATGGATGACATTCCAAATCTGGATTTACCATCTTTCGAGCCGTATTGGTTGGAACATTATCAATTTGTCTCGTCAGAACAATTTAATGGAATTGCGGATTTGACTGGTATAACGGTACACAATCTGACAAACTTCACGATAAATAAAGTCGAGTAAGTAATCACGACCGATCAAGTTGACAGACCGGTTGAAATTTGTTAACAAATAACACACTATTTAAGATCATTTTCCCATGTTAAATAAATTTAGGATTATTCGGTTGATGGACACCGTTAGATTAATCATTTTTATTATTTCATATTACCATTATTTCATATGATTGGATGTATCGAATGTCGGATTAGAAAATTTCTAGGACAGTCGTTTGAAAATCTTACTCTAGGAATCTCAGAAATATTCTATCTAACAATTGTTTAGCACATCCGACAATATTAGTTAGAAAATAAATGAAATAATAAACTTGATCGACTAAAACAATTCATGCATATGAATTCGATCGTAGAGACTGCGTATCTGCGCGCAAAACTAACCTGAAACTATCATTTACAGAGTTAACACAAATGTAACTTGGATTAAATTGGAAGCGTTCTTTCCATCTATCCAATTTTTCGCTACGTACGATATACAAGCTACGATCTTCGGTAAATACTTACGAAAAAGAGGACGCACAGTTATAGGGAATTTTAGAGGTGTATCAATCAACGTCACAATAGAAGGTGAGTATCGTGTGAGGCCTAAGAACAAAGAAGAACATTTTAAAGTGACTAACGTCCCTGTGAAATTGAGCATAAATGAAGCCACGTTCTACTTGAATAACAACAAAGTGCATAACCTTTTAATACAAGAAATAAATTCTCTTCTGGCCAGCAACAGAAAAATAGTAGCGAAAAAATTAGTGCCCGAACTTCAAAAATTTGCTTCCAAAATTATCCGTAGAATTGCTGTTAACATGTATTCGAATATCCCGATGAGATTATTAATGCGAGATTATAACTTTGGGGATGATGAGGACATTGAATTATCGATTATCGATAATTAACCGCTGATAATCGTTAACATGATTGATTGTATACACATTAATGTTTCATATCTAACGAAAATTCATATACACTCGAATACAGAAATTTTTCTGAAGTTAGGTAGTTAGATAATCAAATGGTCACAATTACTAGGCACTAGTCATGGTTTGCGTGGTAATCTGACAGAAAACGAATGACATTTCTCGTTGGAAATATTCCTTCATTATACTCTTACCGAACAGACAAATGTATAATAAAAATACTTACATTTTTCCTGAATCCTTCTTCCCATTTGCAACGTTGGATATTTCGTATATTATCACTTCGGCTCCTGTCACAACCTATTATTACATATATTATAGAAATTGTGGATAATCGCTAGCAATAGTGACTATATAATGCTCTATTTATTAATTTATTTAATTTAAATCAACTTAATTACAACTTCATCGCAAGAAGCAAATGCAAAACATTGTACAGATAGACTTAATTTCAAAACGCTTTGTATATTTTTCTCTCAATGCAATTTGGAGCACTGTCAATGGTTCAATGAGAGAACTTGTTTATAATTAAATTCCAGAAATTTCGTTCTCTCGTTGTGTCATTAGATATATTCAAAGCCACATTGAAAAAAAAAGCGGCTAATCCATATAGTGAAACAAATATTTAATTATTTGGAAAGTGATTATACGTGTGTTCAGAAATTTTAGAAAAAATTAGAGGCAACAAAGTATTTGTGTCTCTTGGAGAGGAAAAAGAATTTTTTTCAACACACATACGATATTGACATTTTTACCATGCAACAGAACGAATGACAATAATTATACAAATTAACTTATATTCTAAGTTAATATATTTGTATTGTAAATTAACTTGTATTCTGAATAAAAGTAATAAAGAAGTACATACATATGAAGGAAACCTTAAAGTAACTTATTAATCCTCTACAACATAGTAATGTCGAACCTGTACCAGCATATAAAAGGAATACTATATAAGGGCCCGTTTATGCTGCGTTCAGGAAAAAGAAAAATATACATTTTTTTTAGGTTTTGAGATACGATGATGTTAATTAAAATTTTATCACGCAGCAAGGATAGATAAAAAATTTAGTTTAAATCAGGAAATCATGTAACATTGCAGTGATTCGCGACATAGATACTCTACGCTGCGCTACGCTATATATACTGATGACACACAATATGATGCATTTTATTTGATATGAAAAATATAAAATATTTAATGAAAATACTATATTTAAATCATGAATCGTATAAAATCGTCAGACGCAACGGAAAGTTCTCGTATGCTTATATGAACATGTTCGAGTCGGTTTCCGCCATCCAACGGGTAAAGCTCGAGAACTATCCGTTGTCCGAAATTTTCGCTATTAAATAAAGCACTTTCATAAGGTAGTGGATATTTTTTATGTCAAAACATGATATATTATACTATGTATTATCGTTAAATATAGGATAGAAAACTGTCTGATGAATTGCGATATATTATACGTTTTTCCGATATAAAATCAAGTTTTTATGAGTTCCCATCATGTGACGTAATTTAAACATTTCCGTGCCTTAAAAGCAGAGACCCGGACCGAATGAAAATATCCGATTCCGGTCTATTAAAACATTAATAAAGGTTCCAGTTTCGGTTTCGGTTTTTTGAATAATGAAATTACCAATAAACCGTTTAAATTACGGTTCTTTCGGTTCCAGTTCTTTCTTGTTTTCTTACTAAAATTTTATTATAATTATTTTTATTATAAATTATATGTATATATATATATATATATATATACGAGTAACTTAGTCAAAGTGTGACAAACGTATATCTCAGAAACAATGTATTTTGTACAACAATGTTTCATATAAAAATTGTTTGATTTCGTTGCATAAAATTGCATTGAATAAATATTACTTTATCATTAATGTGAATACTTAAATATTAATGCTTAATAGCGCAATATTGATGAAATATATTATTACAGAAATTTAATACTGAGAGTTATTGAATTTGTAGTAATTAAATATTGAGAAAACAGTGGAAGTGCAAAGATAATGAGCATATATCAAGTAAGTATTTCAGTAGCAGAGGATCTAGGACATGTTATCGATGTAATGCCTGACGACGGTCCCGTTGGGCGGTAGTGGAGTATGGAGAGATGATTTTTTGGTAGGTAGGAATTCCACACACTCTTGAGTACGGGCTCCATGACATCTTTAGAAGATTGTCCCCTATCCTTGGAAAAAAACACGCACACATGCATATGCGCACTTACACATAGGCACTTGTCCATCCCGAGATAAATTGGTTATATCCTCTGACCTCGAAAAGGCCACATTAATAACATTCAAATGGTATGATATGACAGGGAATCTCTGTCTTTTATTACTTGTCCAAAATATTATTTTTACATTCTCTCATTTCCTATCCTTAATTCCTCTCTTCTCCCTTTCCGCAGCTATTTTCTCTGTATTTCTATATCTTCTTTGTCCCCATTTTCGTCCTATAACATTTCTTCTCCTTGTTTTCTATGTCTATTCTTTTTTTCTATCCTACTTGTATCTTATCTCTCTGGCTACTTCATTTACTTTGTTACCGCTCTATCTTAATAGATATTTCCTTATTCCTCCAAATCTTCTATTTCTGGTTTACTTGTCCCCCTTCGTATCTCCTTTTCTTTAATCCTAATTTCTAACACCTTGCTCTTTTCTTTTATTCATCGAGATTCCCATCTTTATTTCCTTGGTCCCTTCCCTTTTCTCTCCTCATTTCTTTCCTTTTCCTTACAGCATCTCCTCTAATTCTATCCTTTCTTCCCTTTCCTACCTTACATAATCTCTGTTTTCACTCCGTCCTCTGTTAGGTTTCTTCTTCTCATTTCTTATTTCCGACAACTATCATTATTCTTTTAATTACTTCATCTCTTCTTTCAACCTTCTACTTCTACTTCTTTCAACCTTCTACCACCTTCTCATCTCTCTCACAAAAAAATCACTTCCCTTCCTACTTTTATTCTTTTTCCCAACCGACCGCCTGAGAATTACTATGTTATGCTAATGACTATTATAAAATAAGACAATGCAATCGAAGCTTAAAGTACAACGTTTATTTATATTATTATGTACATTTATCCGTTTCTTTATAAATAATATATACCATTTTTAATACAAAAGGTATTTGTTCAATACTAAATAATTATAAAGTAGTTAAATAATTATTTACGTGCTGATCGCGGCTCTCATCGTCATGAAATATGATAAGACTGTGGTTAAAAACTGTAAAAACAATATAAAAGTTTTGAAACATTAAGTACTAAAACACAAATATATCTTTTTCTTATTAAAAGTTTTTCTTACGTTCGCATAATATTCTAACGTGAGAGCAGGTAATAAGCCACCCATGGATATTAAAAGTGGTTTTTGGCTTCTTTGTAGCATTATGAAAATATCGCTCTTCATTTTTGGCGACTTGCCAATCCATGATGCACTGTAAGCTGACAAAGCAAGTTGTATACTCTATAAATAATGAATAACATAATTAGCATTGCATTTTATTCATCTATAAAATAATTATATATGAGCTCCGATATATTCCGTTATGCATGTATATTGTATGTTATTACATATAGTATATTTATGAATATATGTATGTATGTTTGTATGTTTATATATACAGGGTGAGGCATTTTAACTTGAGGACCCAAATATCTCGAGAAATATGCATCCTATGAAAAAAATTGTTCTAGATCAAATTTGTTTGTTTCCAGGGCAGCAAGATGGCAATATCTCTTTCATTATACATGACGATATTGTTGATGAAAATTAAATCAGCTTTGTTTTTTTTTTTTTAAGAAAACCTCGAATTTTTATTAAATATTATGGTTCTACGCTAAAAACAAAGTAACTTTTATCTTAACACGGTGACTGCCACGGAACTTTTCACGATTCCGGTCTAAGAAACCAATTTGATTTAATCAAGTAATGAAGCGACGAGATAACTCGTAGTTGGCGTCCTGGGTAAGTAAACAACCTACGAGATATCTCGTAGTTGGCAGTCAACGTGTTAAACATATTTTTCTAATCATTTTTCAAGAATCGGAATTATTCCGCAACTCTACTTATTTTACCCGCGGCTGTACATAGTTCTCGTTCACCAGCTCGCCACCAAAAGCTCGCCTCTCCTCCTCGAGATCTCGTCCCTCTAATACGGCAGCTTCGCTCGCTCATTATTGCGCTGGGACGTCTAGTTTTCTCGCCGTCGGGCCGCACAGTGACGAGCGGGGCTCGTCAATTAGCGCAAGAGGCAACTGTTGCAAGGATCTGTCGTGCCGATCGATGCGGCATCCTATTGGCTTTCCCGGCTAGATCACGTTTATCACGGGTGCTTCACGTTTTGAGTTAATTCGACGCTTAACTTGTCCTCGTTTTCTCTCGGGACAACATTCGGTAACCACTGGACTCGCAGTACCTGAAGGAATTTCCTGAGCCCTTCCGTAGGGATCCTCCCTCGCATGCTCTGTGACCGGGTCGCGGGGCCTTGCGCCTTTCTTAGCGCAAAGTGGCCATCCCGCTGTTTGTTGCCAGCTGCCCGTCCTGAGAAAGATCTCCCCGCATTCTTCCACGAGTCGCTCTAGCCGCCCCTTCAGCATCCTCGCCCTCTTTCGCCCTCGGCTTCTCCCGGCAACTCCGATTCCCTTCCGTCTTTTGGTCCGGTGTTCTGGCTTTTTCAGGTAATCTTACACTCAAAAAAAATATATAATAGCCGCGGGCCGCGTCTCGTGCGCAAAAAGACGCACGAAACAAAAATCAATTAACTCGATCGTCTTCGCTTACGAAAAGGCGGGAGTTTTCGTCTTATCCTCGGCCAGGCCACAGGCCTGGGTGACGAGTAAAATTTTGCATCGTCACAACGTTCAATCATATTTTCGCGAGTTGTTGTACGAGCGTAGCATAACAAAGAGCGCACTGGTTTACCATGTTAGCGGTCCCGGGTTCGATCCCGATAGAAGTCATAATATTTACGCTCGTGTCTCCTCTCGGAAGGCAATGACAAACCACCGAGATTATCCTTGTTTAGCATAACCTCTCTAAAAAATGTTACCGCTCGGAATTGGCGTTAAACTAGTGTAGGTCCTATATGCTTGTGTATATAATCAACATGCGCACCACAGACATGTGAGAGAGGTCACCTTACACCTGGACACAGGTATGGTACTAACAGAAGGAGAAACTCTCTCTGCTGTGTGTGTGTGTGTGCGTGTTATCACGTGCAATGCTAATGCTAAATGATTATCTGCGCGGTTGCAGGAATTCTTCGCTCCTGCTTTCGCACGTAATATTATTTTCTATATGAAAATCTTGAAAACTTACAACTTCTTTCAAATCATCTGCTGGCCAAGCTGTAATATACATTCGTTGCAAAGCAGCCATTATCATTGATAAAAATTGAGGAATGAGAATGTGAGACTGTATCTACGAAAAGTGTTCTAAATTAGAGGTGTTAAGCATATTTGTATACTCACATAAATTTAATTACTTACATATAGGATAGGAAAACAACCACTGATCACAGTAAATCCCATAGTAAGATTAGTTTTGAATAGTAAATATTGAATAGCTTTCTGCGTTTCTGAAATAAATCTGTCCATACAAAAAATTTATAAGTAAAATTAAAATAATTTTACAATAACTAAATGACTAAGATTAACAAATTATAAAGTTATGAAAAATATATTCCTTCCAATATAGAAAGAATTACTAACTTCTCTGTTATAGATATAAAAGATGATTTATTTTAAACGAAGTAACTAAATGTGTTTTCTTTATAAAATGTCACATAAAAATATTTCAAATGGAAGTTATAAGGTTTCAAAGGAACCACCCAATTATAATGATGAATTTCCATTTACGGTAAAGTAATGGACCTAGATAAATTCTTTTCGTCCCGACATGTTTCCAATGTACTTTTAAAATACCACGTAAAACGACAAGAAATTTTATACGAGATATTTTTCTCAAATTCTTTAAAATATAGCTATGAAGAAAATGTAGCGAACAAGTAGCAAATTTTATAATAACCTTAAGATCGTTTTATAACATAGCATGTAAAATTAAATGGCAGGACTTGCTTTGTGGGGCTTTCGCCGTATGCGAACATTCAAAATTACCGGTAACACTCCAGCACAGCTCTCTCAACCATAATATTTCCGTAATAATCTCACAAGAAAACGGTCAAACAACACCCACCCTCACAATTTTGATGGGCCTTGGAATATGTCTAGAGCATCAGCAAACTAAGAGATTTCATAATATTTTTCATCGACATATCCTCGAGAGTTGTTTTAGAAGGTGAAACACCACCCCCCTCCTCTCTCTCTCGGTGGGGAGAAAGACCACCGATACCATATGGTCGTCCCTCCCTTGCTGGAGCGGTAGGGAGATGATCACCACCGATGATACCGGCTGTACCCAAACCTCTTTTTGAGGGGTGTGAGGCTTCCGTTCCCGGTCATTTGACTGGTGTTACCCCGTGTGGATTGTTCTACTGAACACGCCAGAGAACAAATGCCTGCGCAATTCTCTGTGCGGGCTATTTATAGCCCGTCAGTCCCCATCTCCCCGACGAGCGAGTGGGGTCGGGCGTGCGCCTCCTGGCGGTGCCTTGGTGGTACTACATTAGTAGCATGATCGTTCTCAAGAGAACGGAGCTGCTTATACGCCGACTAGCGGCGCCTCGGCAGCATTACTCCCGGATGTTCGGGGAGTGTCAGGGCGCGGTGTCGTGTACCCTTCGGCCTGGGGTAGTGGTAACGAAGGCCCGGGGGCACTTCGTTACAAAGAAGCAATTGAAAAGATAAGTTTAATTCTAATTTTGCAGATGTTCTGACTACTTCAAGAGCATTCAATTGTGTGCTTGATCTTAGGGTCAAATTTCAAGGTCATTTCAACATCAAAAGCATATCGCCACACCATTTATTAATACCTTAGAAATTTTCTCTACAAGTTCATTGTATCTTAAGCTAATTGTTATTAAAATAATTGCTATCATCAAATCAATTTTTTTAATGGAATTCCTCTATTTTTTGAACAAATCAAATGACCAAAATCAACCTCCACGTAGTACACTTTGGGTAATGCTAATGCAGGCGGTACTATAACTTTCAAGTCTTTTAACTCAAAAAATACGTAACGAAAAATATTTATTTATAGTGTTTTGGAAAGCTTTTGAGATAAGCTACAACAATATGGAATAAAAATAGAGAATTACGTTTAAGAAATTGAAGTTAACCTTCATGTGACCTTCAAACAACAATTTAAAGTCAAATCGTCCCCACCATCTTATGTCCTCCTTGAAACCATACAACTTTTGTTCAATACATTTTTTTTAATGCTATGCAACTACTGTAAAGATTGTATTTTTTCAGGATTGTACTTTTTCAGAATTTCAAATGATTATAAATGAAAATTTATAATTATTATCTTATAAAGGGAGTTTTAATGAAAGTTCTAAAACTGTTCTTTGGGACAGACCATGTATTTTAATTTTATAAAAATGAATATTGTATTTCTCTTGTGACTTCTTGATGATTTTATTCAATACAATATCAGACTATGTACCATTTTTTTAGAATAAATATGTATGTTTATTTGAATAGTTAAATAATGTTAATGTGAATAGTTAAATAATTTAAAAAACTAATTTTTTAATGATACTTTTAATCATATTTTTTAATAATTTATCATTATAGTGGAAGAAAAACTAGATTTAACTAAGTTTACTTTAGGTATATTTTAATTGAATTTTCATAATTATCGATAGTTCTTAAATATCAAAATTATAGAGAAAAATGTTTTGATTTGAGAATTTGTTGAATTCGGTTTATGATAATCGTGGAAAGAATATGGAAGATATTTTATTTCTGTCGCTTACCTTGTTATTTCCTGATGTTTTTGGATACACGATATCACATGAGTCTCATTAATCGCTCGTTGTATCTCAAAAGTCAACATCTCCAACCTGGCTGTCGTATAGAACAGGAGAACAGCGATCATAACATCCACACCAAGGCAGAAGACAGTATGAGCAATTACAAATATTTCCATTACGTAGACAATAAATTTTCGTAATAATGGTTCCGTCGAAAATGGATACCATACTTCTACAGGAAATTCCATTGGCAGAAATAAAGGGGCGAAAGTGACGGTAACTCCTGCCATGACGAAAGATATTGCAACAATTGAAATGAACGTTACGTAACGGTCTACATATTTTTGCAAAATTATTCTTTCCCAATCTTTTGAGACTTTCACAAACTCCTCGATACTCACCAACAAACTCTGAAAACCAGTTTAAACAATTCAATATTTTCGGTAATATTCGGAACGAAATTCTTTATATTAGGTGTGTCCCAAAATTAATGAGAATGATTGAAAAAAAAAGTTTATTAATAATACATTCAACTACAGTTAATCTCCTTCAAAATAGGCTCCTTGCGATCGAATATAGCGATTCTCTCGTTGCAGCTAACTGCTTTTCTCATGTTCAGATCTTCCGTAATGATTCGGTGGACGTTTGTTTTCAGTAACCCTACCTCCTCTGCGAGTAATCTCATATTCAAACGTCGGTCCATACTCAAAACTTGACACATTGTCCTCAGTTCCTAGAGTTGAAGGATGCCTTGCGCGCTATTCGTCCTCAACGCTGTCCCTTCCGTCCTTAAAGACTTTGTACTACTTAAAGACTCGAGCTGAAGACAAAACGGCATCCCCATAAGCTGTTCTCAACGTCTCCAACGTTTCGGAACCAGATTTTCCCAGTTTCACACAGAATTTGATTATGTAACGCTGCTCTAGTCTGCTACGTTTTCACCAGTGGCAAGACATAAAAATTACAACAACTTTGCAGTCGTATCGACCGCTAGAAAGACTCAGAGGCAACTGAGAAGGGTCAGACTGTATACCTGGAGTTCCCCTCGCCAACTGCCTCGATCGCCATTTTTCTTTTATGGCCCTTCTGACATGCGCACTATCTTTATTACTTTTGGGACACACCTCGTATATAAAGTCCAGATAAAAATTCTGGACTTCACATAAAAATAACATTCAAACATCAAAGTCTACTACTTTTTAATACTCCAGTCCATCATATACCGAGTTATTTACATAACTCCAAACTGATTTCTGAAATTATTTAATGTTGACAGCTCACCAAAAAAACGCTTCAAGTAATTTTTTTACACGAAAAATTAAACATCGCGCAGTTAACTTTCCGACGAGTGCCCAGATGTACAAAGTACACCGATTTTATAAAAGAAATCTAAATAAAATTCTGTCTAACAGTCCCGGTTACCAAATATATTCATTTCAGTGTTATTTCCATTTTTGAAATGTGCTAATGTAGCTTAGTAGAGAAAAACATAAAATGGATTTCACAAGGATAACATTATTTGGATTTGTGTACAGAGTAAACGCCTACTCCCGCAACATTAACAAATTAACGTAAGTATAATTAACATAATTATATATGTCCTAATTATTATTATTCATCATAAACTATTTAAATTAAACTTAAGATATTTATATCATCATCATCTGTAATTTACGAAAGTTGCCAAGCTGCATAATATGAAACTGATTCAAAATAAAATTTTTTATATTATGAATATTTAGACCGATCCTGAATCTAAATATTTTGATTCGTACATTTTATCCCCCGAAATAACCTCCTTATTTACAACACTAATTAACTCTTTTGAATTTAACGGTACTTATTAAATGTTGCGAAAAATACTGTCTCCACCAAGGTTGGAACTTAAACCTCCTCATTTTCCAAATAGAATGCCTTACCAATTCGGCCATTGAGGCGTCGACAGTATTCTTCGCAATATTAGTGTTTATAAATTCGTAAAATATAAGACGAGAGAAAGAGAAGAATTGTATTCGTAAGATATTTACGCAGATGACGTTAGACATTTTATCTTCCTATAATTATATTAATATTAATAAAGTAATATTAATATCTAATATCTAATAACATTAAACTATCCGTGTTTAACTCTTTAAAAGTTCATATCATTTTCTATACATGGTTGAATAGCAAAGGGCTTTTTTTATTATTGCTTAGTTTAAAAAAGCATGGACATAAGAATATGCAACTTCTCGTATAAACATCTTATAAATATAATTCTTCTCTCAGAAGTAATGCTGTCGATGCCTCGTTAGCCAAATTGGTAGGACATCTTGCCCAAAAAGTGAAGAGGTCCAGGTTCAAGTCCTGGAGAAGGCAATATTTTTTGCAACAATTAACAGATACTTTTAAATTTAAAAGAATCAATAGGGTAAATAAAAAAATTTTTCGGNTCAAAATACTGAGATTCAGAATGGTCTAAACAGAAAATGGATGACCGCGCACAGTTGAGCGGTAAATATCCTACACGTATATTAAAACACGCTGGACATTTTATCCTTTCACAATTATATTAATATTGATAAGATATTATTAATATCTAATTAATATCTATTAATATCTAATAGCACTAAACCATCCGTGTTTATCTCTTTAAAGGAGATATCATTTTTTATACGTGGGACTGACTCGTCTGATACAGCTCTTTTAACAAATCTATTTCTCTGTTCATTCTGCATTTCTGCATTTCTGTAAAAATACAAAGGTTAGACTTATAAAAAATAAATATTTCTCGAGACATTTTATTCTTTATCCCGATATTTTCGGCATGGCGTCCATCCAGGCGCTCGTCAAGATCGTCTAACGCGGAATTTAAAGCAGTAAGTTATATACGACAACCAAGATTTCCACTCGAACTAGCTATCTGGCTCGTCTCGCGCTGCATTAGGACAACAGCTGTTATCACTACAGTGTCTCATTAATAAACGTGCCTTTGTATATCACAGTGCTAATTTTTCTAACTTCCCTCTCGTCTCTTTAGCGATTTTACGGAATCACGTTACATCCACTTCACGCCCAAATCTGAGCATTTGACATTTGGGCGTTCAGTCATCACGATTACCGGTTACGGAACTCTAAACAATTGCTAGTAAGAAGACACGAGTCTTAAAAGTTATAAGTATTACTCAAGAGAATGTTATTAATAATAACATATATATCGTTACCTGCAACTGATACTTATTTAACCAGCATAAAATTGAATTAAGAACAGCTTCTGCCAATGCTGCCAAATGAGAGATATTTTTCATCACTATGGCAATATCGTCCCGGCTTCTGTATGTGTTTATCGCCATTGGTATCCATATTGTTGCCATTACGAATATAGCAAAATGATAATAAATTTCACGGAAGAAAAGTTCATTTCTCCTAACATCGGGGTTTGGTGGCCACGTGTTGGTGAAAGTGCCTAATATTTGAAGGATACGCAACATCTTTAAAAACTTCAGTTTTATGATCGCCATGATGTCTGTTCTCGTTAACTATGAAACGAGTTGAGAAGCAGCACATTAAGGAAATACTACCAGGAAGAGAAATAACAGTTCGAGGCGGAATGATACGATCGATAGCTGATTAATTATTTATCGCTATACGTTTGACTCTTCACGGTAATTAATACCTGCGATCATAAGCATAAGGTTGAAGTACGTACGATAAACATATAGCATGCACTGACTCATGAATATATAAGAAATTGATACTTCGAAGTATGTTTATTTCATTTTCCAATTTAACGATTCGCTACACGCCGAGTTTATGCCCACTTTATTTCTCATCAGAAGAAGAGTTCGAGAATAGAGTAGGACGATTAAATATTGGTTCTATGACTGGTTGAACGGATACCGAATTTTGTTCGCGATCACATTAAACTTTCATAACTTTATAAAAATTGTATGAAAACGTTTGTGTTTCTACTGTTACATATCTTATCTCAATTAAAGAAATTAATGAAAAAAATGTGGGATTCTGATATTGGAATTCGGATTATTGATTGGCGTACGCTCTCACACACACACACACACACACACACACACGTTTAATTGTTTATTTATTTGTCCTTTGCGATATTATTCGATATAGGGGATGATTCAATGTCGGAACCGGATTCAAGTCAATTTCGATCAGCTCTGCTTCACTATAATTTGGGCAAAGCTGAACGGGGGAAAAAGAGAAACAGTAGTTCTAAACTATCAGAAAAGTGAAAAATTCTCTATATTATATTAAAGTTTCTTCTGCCGGAGTGGAATCGTTTTCGCTGGAATAATTCTTCAACATTTGCACGATGAACACTACTATATTCTGCGCAATAATTATGACATCCACGATGCTCATAACTCGTTCCACTTATCGTTACACTCACGTTAATGGAACGGATGATCGTGACGTTGCGGACGTGATCATTGCAATCGTTATGTGGAATGCACCCAATAGGTGCATTGAGCTTTAAACCTTAAGAAATTCACCAATCACAATCGAATTATAGAAATATAATCTATTGTGATTGGTCAATTTCTTAAGGCTTAAAGTTTAAAACATTATTGTAAAACCTAGCTTTATACTCCATCCCTAAATTCTTCTGTTTATGGTTGCAAACATATAGTGGAACGCATTCTATAGTGTATTCGGAACGCTTGACACTCAAAGGCATACGAAAGTATCTCCACTACTTTTCCACCGAAATCACGAAAACATATCACGATGAGGTTTCCGAACACAATTTAGATGTGTCGGGATCATTGAACTAAAGAATCTACTCGAATGAGCACTGCCTTTATTTTTGGCTGATGACCTCGTGTCGAGAGGAAAAGTATCTTAGTAGTATTGCCATCTTTGTCTGTTTATGTTCGTCTTTGTTCTATCTTAGCTTATATAGTCTATATATTAGGAAGAGAGAGCGAGATACTTGGTGCTTTCCATTTGGTGCGATAAGTCGACATAAACATCATCCTATCTTTAGTTGCGTTCGAGAAGACGTTATTTAGCGCTACCGCGTTAATCTACTCTTGTTGTATATAAAGAGTAATAAAGATAAAATGACGCGGTAACGCTAAATAACGTCTTCTCGAACGCACTCTTTGTTATTCATTGAACGCAAAACAAAGACAAAATGATGTTTGTGTCGAGATGTATCACCGAATGGAAAGCACGGACTACTCTAATTCTCCCGACTTTAAAGACCGTATCAGATTATAGATTGGGGATTGTAATTGAATTAAATTTGGCCAATAAGTGCAAAGTTAACTGAATTCAAATTTAGTGAAATTTAGTGAACTATGCACTGATTGGTCAAATTTTAATCTCAATATCTAATCCGTAGTCTGATACAGTCTTAATGCCCGTATCAGACTACAAATTGGGGTTGATGTTAAATTATTAATTAAATTAAATTTGACTAATCAATACAAAGTTAACTGAACTCAAAGAAGTGAAATTTAGTATTGTTACATTGAAACTATTTGCACTGATGTGTAGTTATAGCATTTGTAGTGTAGTTACTTTGAAACTACTTGCACTGATTGGTCAAATTCAATTCAATCACGATCTGCAATCTGTAGTCTGATACGAGCTTAACAAGTCACAACCCCCACCGCGCCAGGCTCATTCCAGTACGTTCTTTAGTTCATTGGTCAGGATGCACAGCTGATGGTGGTATAGGCGGCTTGCAATTCAACGGCCCATAACCACAAATGAGTGAAGTTGATGTTACAAATATAACGTAACGGGCTTTTATTGTACACTATTATTCATTAACCGAAATTAGTATCAACATATGTAAAACATGTCTTCGAATAGAACTTTGAGAAGGTCTTCGCGAATAAAACCTCTCGTAAAATATAAAGATGACAGCGACGCGGAAACACCTAACTCACGTAAGATTACAATAATATAAAGATTGTGAATGAATTATATCTCTTTTGTAATGTCTGTTATATTATTTTAACATTGCGTTTCAGTTTAATATTATATCATATTATGCAATGTATCATGATATTTTTATCTTTTAGCATCAGCTAATTTATTAAAGGCTGAAATAGAAAAAGAATTGGAAGATATACAAGAGGATGTACAAAAGCCACACGGTAATAAAAATAGATTTCCATGAATTTATCATTTATCAGTTGAATTTGATGTTATTTTGTTATTTAAGAGCTATTTTCTGAGAAGGATGTCAATGGAAGAAAATTATATGGATTTCAAACACCGGTAAAAAAGAACAGTATGATACTCAAAGCCAACCAGTATAGTACACCTACAACACCTACACATTTAAAGACAATGTCTGATTTGAGAGTTGTTCTAGATGATATTGTAATTGATTCAAAAACTAAAAAATCAATGAAACACAAAAATGCTGATGCAAAAGGTATTAAATATTGTATTTAATACAGATATATTGAAAAATATGTAGAAGATTATATTTATCTGTTTTTAATTCCCAATTACTTTTTTTTTATGTATCAGAGAGTCGAAAGCAATTTTTGCCTAGGGTAAATTCAAGTGGTGATGAAAGTATATCAGAGGACAGTGAGTATGTTCCTACAGATACGGATGAAACTAATTCTGATGGAACATCTGATAACAGTGAAGAGAACAGAAATTCTGATACTGATGAAGAAGAAAACAATATTAAAAAGGAACAAGTAGAGAAGAAACAAAGCATGTTACAAAAATCTTTGCTAAAATGTGAAATACAAAATACTCCCAGACACAAGACAAAGAATAGTCGTAAGACAATTACTTATAAAGATTGTGTAAGTTGAAATTAAGGGAAGATGTGACGCAAAAATGTCATATGTAAGTAATATTTTCAACATATGCTCTCTGTTTTTATTAATTATTTCTTGAAACTTTTAAAGCATATAAAAACTGATGAATTCTTTGAGTCCCAACGAGGAAAAAAGATTACATCCGATCATACATTAGAGAGACTTCGAAACGTGCGCCTTACTGAAGAGAAACTAGGAGAATTGCTAATAAATCAGAGTCATGTTTCTACGATACATAAGAAACATATTCAATTATTAACGGAAAATTATAGGTCATTCTTTTCAATGTGGTATTTTATAATGGAGTGAGTATTAAATGTTATGTATGGCTACATAAAAATATTTTTTTGGTAATACTTGAAATCTTAAGATATATATCAAATGATAGGGAAGGTTACAGCCTTTTACTTCATGGTCTAGGCTCGAAAAGGAATTTAATTATTGATTTCCATCATGATATCTTAAGCAATCATCCAACACTGGTTATAAATGGATTTTTTCCTAGTTTGACAATAAAAGATGTAAGTTGAATATACACAGAATTAATCCTATAAAATGCTATTATTTTTATAGGAAATAAGTAGTTCCTGAATATATATATCATCATTATATGCCAATCAAACAAAAAGAGAAATTAATATTTTCAGATACTGAATGACATAATTACAGAAATATTGGATTTAGATTGCCCAGCAGGCCTAAATGATTGTCTGAAACTTATTGAAGAAGTTTTGGCAACTAATTTAGACGATCGACTCTACTTAATAATTCACAACATAGACGGGATAATGTTACGTTCGAATAAAGTTCAAAATGTTCTCACTAGTTTAGCAGCTATACCAAATATTCGAATTTTAGCGTCCGTCGATCACATCAATGCGCCACTTCGTAAGTAATATCTTTGCTGAATCAATAGGTCTGTTCATTTTCGCTGCACCGCTGAACTAGTGCAATAAGTTGAACTGAGAAAACATATACTTGTCTCGCTTCAACTTATTGCACTAGTTCAGCGATGCAGCGAAAACGAACAGACCTAATTATTATTCTAGCTTATGCTTGATATACTTCTTGTTCTTTTATTATATGAAAAATTGTTGTATGAAAAATCTCTTATTATTTTATGAAAAATTGTTCGGACACACGATACTACATTTTATTTGTTTTATTAATCTACAATTCTATTTTTAATTGTTAATACTTTTATTTATTATAATTATTATTTTAATATTATAATAATTATATATATATATATATTTTTTTTTATGATATCCTTTTTAATTTATATGAGAAGTTTTCTTAGAAAAGCTGAACGACATTTTACCTGCTTAAATTTCCTTGATACTCTTCTTTTTAATTCTAATTAATTCTAACATATCCGGTTTTTGTTCAGTCTGGGATCACATAAAACGTGCGAAATTCAATTTCTATTGGTGGGATGCAACCACATTCTTACCATATCAAGCTGAGACGTCGTATGAGAGTTCTCTATTGGTTCAACAAAGTGGTGCACTCGCTTTATCTTCCCTTCAAAATGTCTTCCTTTCTCTAACTTCAAACGCTCGGACGATTTACATACTTCTTGTCAAGCATCAATTAAGTCATACTGGTGGTAACTACGCAGGTCATTATCGCTTAGCATTCGAATATAATACAATAATTAATGCAGGTATATTATATATACATTTTATCGCGTAATAATATATGTTATTTAGGAATGTCGTTCAGGGATTTGTATCAAGTGGCGCGCGAGCAGTTCCTGGTCAGTTCCGACTTAGCATTGAGAGCGCAGTTAACCGAGTTCATAGACCATAAATTGATACGAACAAAGCGCAACGTCGACGGTGCTGAACATCTTACGATACCCCTCGACAAGGGTCTTTTAAAGCAATTTCTCGAGCAACACGGATCGTGATTTACCTGGGATAAATTCGCGAAACAAAAAAAGATACATAAGATTTTGTAAGATAATTTATATTAAAAACATGTAATAGTTGAAAGAGTTTTACTCTCGATTCGCACGTTTTAATGCTACTTAAATTACATTTAAAATTCAATTATATACTTTTATTGAAAATTATATTTTTTATAAATAATGTGTGCTAGTAGTTTGTTTATCGTAGATTGATAAAAGAATTATTTTTTTAATGACTTTTCATCATATTATCTGCACTAAACATCTCACGATATGTTTCGATAATAAAACGATTTCTCGGATAACAAGTAAAAATATCGTGATTTTTCTGAGACGAACTTGAGGTTAAAAAGATACATAAGATTGTAGGATAATTTATAATAAAAGTATATAACGGTTTAAGAAAAGACATAATTTTTTTGATTTATCTATTTGAATATAACACGCTCTTATTATGAGTGTGTATTGTTTATGAGTTTGGATAACGCGTTTTAAATCTACCTGGTAATTTTATATAATTGTAACTTTAAGTAAATATAATCTTAATATAAATTAATAAAATATATTGTCTCATAGTTTGTAAAATTTCGCGAAATGACTACCTTATATCGTATATTCGATGTTACTGCCACTAAAACCTGTATCAGACTACGGATTAGAGATTGAGATTGAATCGAAATTTGACTATCAGTGCAAAGTTCATTAAATTTCACTAAATTTGAATTCAGTTAACTTTGCACAAATTTAAATTCAATTAACTTTACACCGATTGACCAAATTCAATTCAATCACAATCTTTAATTCATAATCCGATACGGGCTTAATTCAACTTAACTCATAGGCAATATATAGGCTATAGTAGAGTTGCGTTCGGAAATTTGTACTTTATGCACACTACTAGATACCAGCTGTTCTGAAAGACCCAGGCTATATTCGGAAACATCATTATTTGATATGCTTTTGTGACTTTAGTCACTGAAGTCACTGAAGTTATAAAAATACACCAAAGAATGATGTTTCCATATATAGTCTGGGTGTTTTAGAACAGTTGATGTCTGGAGTGACATACACACAGTATGAATTCCCGAACACAGCTTAAACCAGTGGCACACGATGCTTGTTTTCGTGCTGGATTGTTTGCTGGATGGAAATACTGCGTTTTGATTTATGTCTTATCATCAATTTTTGAAAATGCACTAATCAGAACGCAATATTTCCATCCAACAAGCAATCCAGCACAAAAACAAGCATTGTGTGCCGCTGGCTATAGATGGCGTTAAGTTGTCATAAAGTATGATGGTAGCAGACGGTTGTGCCTATTGTATGGAGTTGGGCGATACAGTATTGATACATAGGGAATTAAGGGTTTCTCCCATAAAAATAAGATTTTCCCTCGCAATTTGTAGAGGAAAACCTTAGGTCTGTTCACGTTGCTTGCACTTTTGATACTTTTACACCTAGTGCCCATTGCACATTAGCCTCTTAAATAGAAGAGCTGTCATTGGATATCGTTCATCGTATTCGGTATACAACAAGCATTAGATACAAAAGTGTCGAAAATACAAGCAATGTGAACAAACCTCTTATTTTTCTGGAGAAAAATTCTATTTCCCTATGTATTGATATTGTTTCGTCCAACTATAATCCTGGAAACTAACTCAAACAAGCATTAACCGAAACACCCTTCAGAACAGTTGATGTTTAATGAAATGCACACCGTGCGCTTCCGAACGCAACTTGAGAGAGAGAAAGAGAGAGAGAGGAAGATACTGGCGCCTCCTAGCGGAGTTTCGAAAAATTCAGAAGCACCGGGCGTCCATCGTTGCATCAGTTCGTCCTTGACAGTCTCTTTTGTTTTGTGTTCGTATTCTCTCGCTGTGTTTAATTCGTTACTTAATTCGTCGCGGCTACTTGTATACGTGCGGGCGAGTAGCTACTCGCGTGTGTATACGCTTAGGACGCGCGGTGAAATAGACCACAAATCGGAAGTGAAAAGAAGCCGCGGGTTGTGTCAATACGACGATACGCGTCTTGCGCGACGCAAAACATTGCGACAGCGATAACTTCGAGCAAAAAGATACATATATATATATACATACATATATATATATATATATATACACACACATATAGATAGAAAGAGAAGAAAACAGAGCGAGATAAGAATCGTGAAAGAATGGCTGAGATTGACGCGAAAGTGAACATGTCGCTTGGTAAGTGTGGCCAGTGTTATTCCCAACAGTCTACTACTAACCACGGTTTTGCCAGTAAGAGAAAATTCTGGACGAATTGAGCCCATACGACCCGCAACCGTTGTCCCCTTAATTGGCACGACCAACGACAAAATGGCGTTGTGACGTCGTGCGTACCGTGCCTGCATGTCTGTACGTATACGTGCGTGTGAACATGCGCGCGTAGAGTACCTGCATTTATTTTCGCAATTTTTAATCTGTCCGCATGGCGATTCACTTCGTCGTCGTCCTTCTTCGAAGGTAACCAGAGGGCAATACGAGTCGAACAACCGTAACTTTTTCCGCAACTTGAGCGTGATCGATCAGCACATTGTGCAAGGGACGAAATATTAATGTTTTTGATAATAAAAAAGGAGAAGGTGAAGAAGAGGGGGTGAAATACGCCTCGAACTGGCTGATTCGCACGCTGTTTCTCGTTAATTCGTAATTACTTCTAATTGTGCTGCATTACATTGTCTATGATTACGTCATGATTTCCTTGGAGGAGCCAAGAAGAAGAAGGGATTCGAGTAGGATGAATAGAATACGGGAAGCTAGACAGGAACTAGTCTGATCATTCGCGATGATTAACATCTAATAATGTTATTTATGGGAATGAAGAAGAACAGAAGTATCCATAAAGTTCGCAAGTAAAGTCAACAGACGGCTCGGATACAGCACGAGGAAGAAGAGATTCTGTGCGTCACCTTAAATTTACTGCTAAACAATTAGGCCCACTGGTGAATTACACTTATTACGTCAGCAGGACAGCAACATCTAAGAATGATGAAAATATTCAGAAGCACGTCGACGGAAAATTCAAGAAAATTACGGAGGAACGAGGCGGGAACTTTCCGTCCGCCGTAGATAATTGCACTTTGCAGTAATGACCTTGCTCTTTCTATCGCTGTGAGAGAGAAGTTTAACAAAACCTTTGACAAAGCACAGGAGCCGAAAACCGACGAGAGTTTCGAGCACGAGAATCTACGCAAGAACGTCATATCTACTCATCTTCATTTACAAGACAGAAAATTAAAATCGCCGGGGCAACTTGAGATACTGATGGATGTTGTCATAAAATTATTATAAAATAAATAATTCACACACACACAGGCATCCAGACGATTGGAAGAAACAGTGAAACATAGCAAGTCGAGAACTTGCACTGGGAAGATGTTGCACAACCAAGTCAACAAAATACAAAAAAAAGGTTGATTTCCATGCAAGCGGTCGCATTGAGATTGCAAAATTTCGTCTTCACTTCGGCTGATTCCCCTGCGACAAAGAGAAACGGCGCATTGTCGCATTACAAAATTAGGTCCTCCGACAATGTGCCATATATCGCCTTCATCTCACACTGTTTCATCGTGAGAAACCCGGACGCCGAGGGGAAGGGAAGTTGCCAAACGTGTCCGTCGTCGCACGAACGTGACTCATCCTCTTCGTGAAAATCACTCAACGTCGCGCGTGGGAGATAAACGAGGTTTGCATAACGTCGCTCGCGTCGGCCCGTATTTTTACACGACGACGACAACGTCGCTTTTTTTGCCCGGCGAGCGAGCAGGCAACGCAATTACGCAAATACGAGAAATGGGACACCGTCGTTGGCGATATGATTTCCTGTGCAGTAATAGAATTTCGCTGTTGATGCAGTCCGGATATCACCACGAGTAAGCGAATCCTCGACAAGCGGATCAACCGAGACGCATGGATAAGTGGCGATCAAGCTAGATTCGAGCTAAATTATTTGTGAATTCAATCCTGTCTCTTCGACCCGCAGCGAACGCAAGGTTCGAGATCAATTCCACTTTCCACATGTGTTGGCGAAATATTTGCTCGCGGTGTCAGAGAAAATGCAGGTACTCAGTATGCGGAACGCAAGCTGCAAGCACACCGATGTCGCCGGCGTCTTCCAGCGGGTAGATATCTTCTCAGGGGAGAAACATACTTGTTCGAGTGTCGATGTCGTGTACGATCACGTGTTTCTTCCGAACAGCTTTTGAAGCGCGACTGCGGAGGAGTAATAACGTATGAAGAGAAAGCGTCGGTTATGCGCGATGAAGATACGGTTCATGAGAGAATGATAGGAAGCGAACATTTTCCAATTTGAGGAGCGATGTGATGGCGAATAAGCCGAAGACGACGTGATGATGATGATATATGAAGCAGCGACAGGCGATGAACACGATTATCGTTGGACATGTAAAGAAAAAATCAATGGACGTTGAGAATCCCAAATTCGACCACAGAGATCATTGCACGCATTAAGTCTTTGGATTGTTATTCTATGAAGGCACTTCCTTTCATTGAAATCGAAGATGGATATTCGTTTGATTTCTCATTCTAAATCTATCGCTTTCCGATTTACTCCAGATGTTATCTCAATTTAAATGACCATTAAAAATATTATATGCAGGGTGAACCCACGCATCGTGATCAGCTTAGTTTATTCTGCTGTCAATAGACCGCTTGAACATTTTTTTGCTTGATATAACGGTTCAGGGTGAGCTTTGAGATAACCTTAAGCTCCTTGAGCCACGTTATACTAGACAAGAGAATTTTCAAGCGGTCTGTTGACAGCAGAATAAACTGAGCTGATCACGTTGCGCGGTTTATCCTGTGTATTATATCCTTTTTAATAATTATATGATGTACTTTTTTAGATTGATGAAAGTTCATTCAATGTACGCGTATGTGATTTATCTTTTGTGATCTCAACTTTTTCAGGATTAAATTCTTCTCAATTCAATCTCTAACAAGCGATTATCCATTAATTTCGCGTGACGTGTCCCGTTGGTTCTCGTTGTAACAAATTGAAAGACGTACTCTCGGATGTAAGAGAATATATCCACGAAGGGATCGCACATCCGATGTACCGCCTACAGGAGAATTTTTACAGGCGAAACGTCGTTGGGATCGCAATATCACGGACGTACTGATATTTTCCACGTCGACCTGTCGAGTATAACGTGTGGTGATATATAATTTTATACGATAACGCAAACACACACACATATATATATATATATAATGAATATATATATATACATATATATATATATATATTTATTTATTTATTTATATATATATATTCATTTCGGGAGAATTCGATCCTCTTTCCAGTCGATCAGGGATCGTATGTCGCGACACGCCGATGTCCTTAAGCGTATATCAAGTTAAAGTTTTAAGCAAAGATTAAACTACCCACCATCTCACCGCCACACGTACTGCTCTCTCATTAAACGACACGCGTCTTTCCTTCCTTTTAAGATGAGATCATAAAGATGGAGAAAAAGGAGAAAAAGAAAAAGGCCGGGGCGATCAGCGGGAAGACCGGCGGCGCCAAGCGCAACCGCGGTAACAGTGCGCGCGGCCGGACCGGATTTCGAGGAAGAGGAAGCGCGAGAGTCAAGCGCAATGTCGGAACTGCCGCGAAGAAGCAACAGACTTGGCAGCGCGGTGCGGCGAATAACAATAACATGCGCGGCGGCTTCGCGAAGAATCGCTACAAGAAGAACCTCGTGAAATCACGAAGCAATCTGAGCCTGAATCAGAAGGTGGGCAACGCAAGAGGAGGTGGTGGCGGTGCTGCGTTCAACGTGCGTCGTGGCAGAGGCGGCAACAGATTCGGCCTGACGCGCAGCAGGAGCCGCACGAACCTGACGTTCAATCAGGGCGGCTTCTTCACGAGCAACAAGAACAGCCCGCTGCTGAAGAGGACCAGCAGCCTGCCGAATCTGCGCGACCCGACCTCGGTGCACAGCCGACTGGGGTATCAGAGCCCCGCTCAGATAGCCTACCGCAATCGTGTGAAGCGAGCGAAGCAGCTGTTGTTGCAGCGGCAGAATCAGAGATTGAGCTTGCAGAATCAATTCAGAGTGAGTCTTGTCATTTTCCGACGACGATATTTGTGGTATCGTCAATTTCGAGTATATAGAATCGGCAGATTTAAAGCTATTTATTTATTTATTTATTTATTTATTTATTTATATATTTATTTATTTGTTTTTTTTTTCGATGAGTTTCGCAGTATCTCATATTTACACGTCTCCGTCAGAAAAATGTAGAATTGTAGAATTAAAACAAACTTTCCTATTAGATACGAAATATGTCGCGAAATTTATCGAGGAAAAATGTTGCAACCTTTAATTCTTCTATCTATATATATTTACATGTGTGCACACGCACACACACATGTCTGTGTGTGCATACATATATATATATGTGCGTGCGTGTGTATCTCTGTATGTATAGTTATTTATTTATGCGCGCGCGTGTGTGTGTGTGTGTAATAAATATTTATCCATTTGCAAGACATATTTAAATATCCTTTCATTTTATTTGGAATTTTTAACAAATTACCTGGAAAATCAAGGAATTCTCAGGGAATTTTTTTTCGGGTTTGAGTTGACGCCCTGTTATGATCAATTGAGCACTTTCGTTAAATATTCCGAAAACTTTCCTCTTACTCTAACAATAAAAAAGTAACCGTAAAAATTAACACGACATGTAACCTTCTTTTGTAGCCTTTCCTCATGATTTTGTCACGTGAATTTTACAGCTATTTATTGTTATAGTAAAAAAAAAGTTTTTTGGAATATTTTACAAATGTTTTTTTCAATCGGTCACAAATATTACGTTATGGATATATACTTTTATTTCAACATATATTGCAAAAATTTTAATCATAGGATTCCAGTGTTACCAATCAAAATATCTACGGCGAAAAAACAGGAGCTTTAAAATCGCACAATCAATGAAAAAATAAAAAATCAGTGAGGATAAACATTAGAATGTTATTAGTATAACTTACTTGATCATTGCAATACAATCAAAAGTCGAGCATTAAACAGATTTCTCTGAAAGTTATTAAATTGGGTAATTTTTTTAATATTTAAGATTTGTTTATTGTTTAATTCTTGATTTAATTGCTATGATCCTTCTTAAAACTATTAAATTGGGTAACTTAGAGACCTGTTTAATGGCCGGTTTTTTTTATTTAATTGCAATTATTAAGTAGATTTCACTAGTAATATCTTTATTGGCTCTTGTTGTTTTTTATTTCTTTATTGGTTCCTCTGAAAACCTTGAGATAATTTAGTTGACTTTATTTCAGATCGACTTAAGTTTCATGTTCAGATGCTGTAAGAGTCATTTCATTGATTATGTAGCGTCTGACGAACTTACGACAGTTTTAATGTAGTTGGTCTGGTAAAGTGTCGGATTTTCAGATATTAAAAAGTTTTTTACACAAATTTATTATTTATTGAAGAAAATATTTTTTAATAATTTTATTTTACTATCTCAATAATAAATATTGATTTTGTGTGAATGTGAATTAAGACAAATATAAATATATGCCATATTACCAACACGAAGATATTTTTTTTTTTATTTAATGCTTAATGATTTATATGTCAGTTGAGCCAATAGAAGTGTAGATATAATAGAAAATGATGTGTAAATATTTAAATTGTATATGAGGAATGTCCTAACCTTTCTCAGTTCCCGTAATATGCAGAATAACGGACGAATTTGAGCGGATAAGTCATGTAAGCTATTTTACAAAATCACAATAGTTAATGAAAAATTAATTAATCCGTATATGCTAATAAGTGCATAGGAAATGACCGATCGGACTGTGTAAGGAAAATTGGCTTGTACTTCTGAAGATTTCTTACTAACGGTGGATACCAATTGATAGCGAAAGGAATATTTCTGTGTCATTGCGTTACTCCGCTTTTAAAAATCAACTGGTGCTCATCATTGCTAAGAGATCTTTAGAAGTAAGCAATTTTTCTTTATACATAGTTTGGCCTACCGTTACTATTCGCTCATTAACTCAGACAAAATAATTAATTCTTCACTAACTATTGGGAATTTTGCAAAATGTACATGACTTTTCTGTTTAATTCCATTCGTCTTACTTGCGCATCAGGAAACCGAGGAAGGTTTGGGATATCGCAGATATTATTATAAATTGTAAATTTCTCACGGCTATATTTTCTAAATGGTCAATAATTCTGAAATTTTTTCATAATGTTTGTATATTAGTCCTTAATATTACATTAGTTTTTCATTAAAATTCTAAATGAAGTTTAGAAAACATTAAAAATAGGACATTTATTTCGAAGAATACGTATAATAAGTGTTTTTAGTTGTGAATATTTCGGGTTACAAAGGGTCAATCATTTTCTAACTTTATAGATGTATAGATGATATTTCCACTTAATATGCAGCTAAAATTTAAAAAGATATCTAAGAAAATAGTGACGGACTTACTGCTTTAAATATAAAACTATGCTATAAGTAACATTTTTTGTATCATTTGTATATTTTATTAAATTGAGAAGATGAATGTTGAAATATAATTATGAGATTATGAAATTATGAAAATTGAGAAGATGAATGTTGAAATATAATTATGAGATACCGATGATTACATGTGATTCTTTTTTATACAGTTGGCACAAACTGAGAAGGTTCTACTTTCGATGCAACCAAGGACTCTAGAACGAAGGCAACAAATATTAACGTCGCAACGTCGCTTCACAACCGGTGGATTGCGATCTGACCAGATTGCTCGTGCACAGAGACGCGCGCAATACGAACAAAAAATACAAAGGATGAAGTAAATTATAATTTATATATCACACACACATACACATACACGCACGTACACATACATACACACTAACTTCAATGTATCTTATTAATCAATTTCCGCCAAAATCGGTACATGTTGTAAATATTTCTAATTTAATGTCTCTATTAATATTATTAGTTATAGATCATCTTTTTGGTCAATAAGTTTAATCATATATTTCGTTAATATATTACTCATTAATATTATTATTATTATTATTATTATATTTATATTATCTGTATATAGAACATACATACGAAGACTGACAATTAAGTTCGTAGGATATTTTTCGTGTGCATTATGTGGCAGTATTGTTGTGACAGCTAATGAAATAGCATCCTTGAACTATACTCAATGCAAATTTCAGCACGATTGATGCCAGTTTGCGTAGTTAAAATGTAATTAAACGTCAGATCTTGCAAAATAGTTCTTTTACAGTAAAAAAATTTGCATTATGAGTTGAGAAGGACAGAACGGTGATTAAATTTTTGGTGAAATTGAACAAAGACTGCTCGGAAATCGTGTAGCAATTGAATGAAGCATTAGATGAGTTTGCCATAAAACCTGCTTATAAGTTTAGAAACAATTTACAAGTGAGCGAAGCGGTTCAAAGAGGAGAGAGAGAAATCAGTAGACGACGATCTGAAAGAAGAAAGATTCGACGGGAAGCGAGAAGAATGTGAGACGAATGGACGAACTTTTAGCAAAAGACCATCGTTTCTCGACGAAATTCGTAGCCGAACAGTCGGGAATCAACGGAGAAATAGTACGAAAGATAATGAACGAAGATTTTTCAAGATACTCAAATTGTGTGCACGCGCCATTGTTCACCAAAAGTCGAATCATCGTATTGCAACGCCCGCCCCGTTTGCCCGATCTTTCGCTGACTTTTTTTCTATTCTCCAAGGTCAAGAAAGATATAGAGGATCACGGGCGCGGGAGTGGAACGGATTATCTGTGTGCTCTATAAACAGCATCACGGAGAATAATTTTGAAAACTTCTCCCTGCAATGGAAAAGATGTTGGGCCAAGTACATTGCTTTAGGATAGGACTATTTTGGAGAAGGGTACCAGATAACGAACTTAATTGTCAGTCCTCGTATAAATCTTTAAATGAAGGTTTAAATGAAGGATGTTCCTTTACGCGTCATATTAATTACTATGATGTTACAGTTCCGCTCTGCTGACTCCCAGTCCAAATGTCAACTTTATGTGTACACTAGGAAGTGAGTATACACCTACGGTGCGTCAACGGCCCTTCAACCTCGCGCAGAATCGACACACTGCGACTATCGGTAGTCCACGACAGATGTCCAGAGGACGATCGCCATACAGACAAAGCACACAAGGATTAAATATGGTGTGTATGTGTGAGTGAGTGAGTGAGTGAGTGAGTGAGTGAGTGCGCGCGCGTGTGTGTTTGTGTTTATTTATTTATTTATTATCCTATATCTCTTTGTTATATAAAATATTCATCAGCTGTGTTTTACAAACGTGTCTGTTGAATTGATGTTTCAGGTGGGTCTGTCACCGTTGTTTGGCCGAGCACGCTCGCGATCAAGATCGCGATCTCGCTCGCGTACACACAACACCGCCGCGTCGGATTCCAGCGGAGAGGTCGACGATCGCACCTTCAGCGAAGTCATGTACAGCCTGTCGGGAAATCTTGGTGTTACCGGGCGAACCCTAAACGATCGGTTTAGTTTTTAAGGGACATCCCTGAAAGTTAAATTTTAAATTTATATTTACCTGGAAAAGAGAGAAAGAGGGGGGGGGGGGGGTTAAGAGAACGGAAANTTAATTTTTATGCTTTAACAGACTTAAACGACAAAAACATTGTGTTCTTTTCCTACATTACGACGATGAAAACATTAAAATGAATAAATCGCTAACAACTAATACATTTACATGAAACGCATATTAGCAGATATTTTTTTCATTTTGTTTCTAACGCATTGCATAGATTTATTTGAGGCTATCATCTATCTCCTTCGCAATGTTAACGTGTGTGTAAAATATTTCTAGAAAGAATAAGCACAGGAGGTTATTATGTATTTTCGAGATTCATGATGCATATTCTATTTAGTACGCACATTATGTGCGAATACAGCGATACTCGTGAAAGCCTCATTTATAGCAATTAAGGAGATATTGTTTTTATCTTCTGTGTGCATTAATACGATAAAATCTTCAGTATTTTTTAATTACTGGCTATAATGCGATATTACATTTATCTGCCTATGACTATGAAATATAGAAGACAAGTAGAGGAGATATAAATTATTTAAATATAGCAAATCTCAGAGCGATGAATTTATGAAATTATGGTATTTAGTGGAAAAATAAGCCGCACCTTAATAATGTTACACGCGTTGAGCGTGTAATGAAATGTGTGTAAAATGATACACATTTGAGAGAGAGACTGCATATCTTTCAAGTCTACCTTTGTTCGTTTTAAGAAATGTACAAATCTCAACTACTAGTTTTCTTAATCTCTATTGATAAAGACTACGAGTGCAGATTACAAATTATAATTATGTTTTAGATACTATTGAAATAAATGCGAAATTAGCATATATTTTCGCATAACACGTAACTAATACATGCAACTAACATCCACCTTATATTAGTAGGAATTGTGGTTTTTTTTTTATTTATAGACTAAAAAACTTGATGCAATAACAACAATACGGACTACAGTCAAATATGGAGGTTTAATCAATTTTTGTTGTGAATCTTGATTCAGTTTACTGTTAAGGCTGTCTATATTTTGTAGCATCTAGATATACTCGCATCAAAGCAACCTCGTTGTGTAATATATGAATGAAAACTTAAGCTCGAATTTATATTGTATTATGGTGATACACAATGTGCAGCATGTGTACTCTATATATCTGAGAAATAAACAAATAGATTGCAACCTTCTTTCGCAATAAACAGTGAAAACACTCATATATATATATATAAATAATACTATTAAATTCCTGGCCTTATATCAATATATAATTAACATATTTACTACTAGTGTCACCTAATAGTATAACAGTGATAATTTTTTTGCTAATTTTTGTCATTATATTTGATCATGTTATTACTAGTTTTCTTTTAAGTTTTTATACTAGAGAGTTTACCAAATAAATCGTGGTAGCAAACATGTCAATTTTATTAATTTTTGATTCTATGTTAGTTCTTGTCTACAATAGATGCTTTAAGCCCTAAAAAATTGATCAGTCACAATCGAATTATAGAATAATAATCAATTGTGATTGATCAATTTCTACTTCAATTTCTTTTTCAATTAATTTTACACGGAACCATTTATTTTAACCTCTTTTCTCATGATTTTGTCAATGTATGCAATTTTACGATTATTTATTGTTTGTTCGAATAAAAGAAAAGTGCACGGACAATTTTATATGTGTACACAATCGATCACAAATATCATTTTGTGAGTATATCTTTTTATTTGGATGTAAAACGCAAGAATTCTTGACATGCATTTTCTCGCTTCTAACGTCATCAAACAGTTGGAGCAACTACCCAGGAGCGTTAAAACTTAGAGCTTAAATTCTCATTATAGATCACGCTTTAGACGCGTGGTCGACTATTGTAGACTATGACTCGTATTCGAAACACGCTTACAACGACGTTAACGCGCTGACAAGTTGAGATATTAGGGTGCTTTCACATGCTGCGTAACTTGCATAAGCATAAATTGTGTCAGTCAATCAAATCCGCCGTGGTAACTGGTAATTGGGTAATTGAGACAATTTGATTAATTGACGCAAGTTACGCTTAGGCTACCTCCCCATGCGTCGTAACTTGCGTAAGTTACGCAGCATGTGAAAGTTCCCTTAGCGCTCTTATTAGCGTGGATATTCAAAACATGATGATAGCTGCACTCTGTCAGGGAAAATCGATAATTACGCGCGTCTAAGGCAAAAATATCCTATTCCCTAGAATTACTAATAAGTTCTAATAGCGCACTAACATTATCTTAGTAACGCACTGTAAAAGTGGTCAGAGGCATATGTATAAGCGCACTAACAGTTTCTGTCACATTTAAAAGAAAACAATAGAGTACATTGGTGTAATAAACGAAATATGGAAAGGGAATTTGTATCATGGAAAGTTCATCGATTGGAAAATTCTTCAATTTTCTATATTTCCATTGTGTTTTCTAGAGAAAACTAAATGATTGTGGTCGGAATCTGTTTTATGAATAGTTTCATAATAGGTATCCTGACGAATAAGACACATGTCGCCCTCGAATAATTTCACGAAGCGGCAATTCGACAAAATGTTGCCAGATGTGTGTTGTATCTGTAAGTTGCAGGGATTTATTCGAATAATGCGGAAGATATTTTTAACACGACAAAAGCGTGGAGTAGATTGAAGTATCGTCCGGGTATTAATCACCACTAACGCTGTGTGAATCGGTGCTGTTCTTATCGTTGTTGCAATAAAACGAAGCGAGCGTGATCGTTGCGTTCAATGCTTACTCCGTTTGCTACGTTCGTTGTGCACGCGAATACACATTAAGTCCACAAGCCTCATGAGATGAAATTTTCATTTGGTGCGGATATTAGAACCAAAGAAATAGACTTTGACCTGTTGTTAATAAAATGTCAAGTTTCTTCATAGTTTTATAGAGAGTGACGCGTCCTTTGTGTGCGCATGTGAGCAGCCCGCACAAAGAAATTTGATGAGTTATCACTGCTAACTGTCATCGTGTTTATGATGTCGCCTCTAGTTGGAATATGCGCGAGAAGGATAAATAAACAGGTAAATATATATATATATATATATATATATATATATATATATATATATGCGCGGTATCATATATATATATATATATATATATATATATATATATATATANATCAAGTTTATTAATGAACCTTATATTTTTTTGAAATCGTATTTGTTTTGGCAATATGTAAATCCTAATTAAATTCAATCTGTATAAATCAACTAACTATTATACTCTGCAAACTATTGTAAAACGATGTTATATTCGTATTTGCAATGGTAGCTCTGGAACCATATATTCATATATTCAAGAAAGAAAGACGGATGTGTGCATGCTGTTATATAACTAAGTATAGTTAAATAATTACACAACAGGAATTATAGATATATATTTATGAAGATAATTGAAAGTATATCCTCTTCTAAATATTTTTTTTAAATGCCTATAATTGTGTATGCAATTTTATCTCGCGCGTGTACGAGATACCGATTTTTTGTACAAACTTTTGTTTATATAAAATGTGATTCTATATAATTTTTTTGTCACTTTGTATAATTTATTTCGTGAAGTGTAAAGAAACTTAATTGTGCATTTAACTTTTGCGAAGTGTAATAAAATGTGTTCTTTGCACATTTCATGTACAGTTGTTATCGTGCAAGGCACCAGTCGTCATCAAACAGGTAGTGCGAAATTTGGAGATACACGAGCATGCCGCGTATACCTTGTTGAAGACTGCCGGCATTCCTACTCCGTCTTTCGGAGTGGCAAAGACACCCGATGAAGCCGCCACTCTGGCCAAGGGTCTTAAGTCCAAGGATATCGTGCTGAAAGCACAGGTTCTGGCTGGAGGTCGAGGAATGGGAAAATTTTTGGGTACCAACGTTGGAGGTGTTGTGATGTGCGAAACGTAAGTTCATCGAATTATATAATAAATTAGATAACGAGATTAAAAATATCTCAAGAAGTAAAACAATTATTAAATTATATAACAGGAATTATAGATATATATTTATGAAGATAATTGGAAAGTTATATCTTCTTTTCACTATTTTTTCCAAATACTTATACAAGAGGAAGATAGACTCGAAGTAAACTCTACTAAATAATAATGAGTCACGAATATATTCTGATATTACAAAAATATCTAAGAAATGAATATTTATTAGATACTAATAATATAGTTAAACATAAATAATATATTTAAATATATGGTTAAATAATAAATAATTTAAATATATAGTTAAGTCTAAATTTTTTTATTTGAATAGTATAAAAAATTGCTTTCATAAAGCTAAGTCTATAAGAAAATATATATTCTCTTATTTTAAATAAATTTTTCCTCAATATAAAAATATATAGCACTAAATATAACACTTGAATATAGCCATTAAAACAAATATGTGCTTCTCAGCTCATATTGGCTATTTTAATTTCTATGTATTAAAATACATAGATTAATATAAATAAATATGTTGTAAGTACCTACTGAATAAAATTTTTCATTTTTTCTTCAGTATAGACTTTGCGTTATGCAAAATACTATCTATAAAAATAAATTTAAAAGAGAAATGCACGGAAATAACTTATGATTTATTGACTCATCAGCCGGATAGATTTGCATAATGCAAAATATGATAAGAAGAATTAAGAAGTCAAACGATAATATTTCTCTTTATCGCAGGCCTGAAGAGGCGAAGAAGTTAGCGAGTAGCATGATTGGTAAAGTGCTGGTGACGAAGCAAACAGCTGGGAAGATATGCAACTCTGTGATGGTAACGATGCGCATGTTTCCGCGCAAGGAGTATTACCTTGCAGTGATGTTGGAACGCACCTTCGACGTACGTAATGATTGTTAAAAAGTTATTAACAAAAGAAGTTTGAATTGTTAATATAATATAATATAAACTTCTGCTTATTGATGTTTAAATTTTTCGTCTTGCTAAATTGATGAGTCTAGTATACTACTGTGATCAAAAAGTATCCGAACTTTATTTTAAAAAAATCAAAATAACAATTCAATCATCAAAATTCTTATAGTCCCCTTCAAAGTAACCCCCATTGCTTGCAACGCACATATGCCACCGTTTGATCCAATCCTGGTTACATCGTTCATACGCGGCAGACGGTATGGCCTTCAGTTCACGCAGCGAATTTTCTTTGATGTCCTCAATCGATTCGAAACGTTGTCCGTGAAATGGTTTCTTCAGTAAGGGGAACAAGAAAAAGTCGCAGGGGGCCATGATGAATACGGTGCATACGGAACGACATTCGTTGAGTTTTTTGTCAAAAATTTACGCACAAGTGTCGAGTGTTGGTGTCATGCGATGGTGCGTTGTCGTGGTGCAAAATCCACGAGTTCGTTTCCTACAATTCCGGCGATTTATGGATTGCTTCGTGTAAACGCCTCATGATGGACAAGTAGTATTCTCCATTGACCAGTTGGAAGGAATTCCTCATGCACAACACTGCGATGATGGAAGAAAACCGTGAGCATGACTTTAACTTTTGACTGCAAACAGCGAATTTTCTTCGGTCTTGTTGCATTTTTCGAACGCTATTCTGATGATTGTTATTTTGCTTCGACGTCGTATTGGTAAACTCATATTTCATCACCAGTTATGATCCGTTTCATACATATGTTATCTCTGGATACCGTAGAAATCATTCCAGACGACACGAACACTCGATTCTCTATTTGGAGAAAATTCCGGTTTTTCGGAATCAAGCGCGATGCGACTCGTTTCATGTTCAGTACATTGGACAAATGATATTTCAACTTCGTCTGCCATCTCTCGCATAGTCAATCGACGATTTTCGAGCACCAATTCTTTCACTTTCTCAACGTGCACGTCATCCATTGACGTTGATGGTCTTCCAGAGCATGGGTTATCTTTAACAGATTCTCAGCCTTCTTGAAACTTCTTAAACTACTCAAACGTGCTTGTTTTCAATAAACAATTAATGCCAATAAACAATTAATAAGCTTTTTTGCAACATTTTGAGGTAGAGAAAGATAGATACATAGAGATAGAGAGATGCTGACCACAATAAAGAGGAGAAAGGCTACATATCTGGGGCATATTATGCGTAACACCAAAATACCAGCTATTGCAATTGATTATTGAAGGGAAGATTGAAGGCAGGAGAGGAGTGGGACGAAAAAAGTTATTATTTTTCCGAAATATAAGGTACTGGATCGGATTGACCACCGTGGAAGAGCTGATTAATGGATATGTAAAAGAAGAAAAAAAAGGAGAGAGCGCTTTTTAAACTTTTCGACCTGAATTGGTCGGATCCAATTATCTGTTCATCTTGAATGAACAGATAAATTCTTTCTAACAAAAGATGGATCCAAATCAGGATTGTCTATGCTAGATAAGTTGCTTAAATATATGTAGACGCATAAGCATACCGTATTTCCTTATCAATAACTTTATATCGATATAGCCCAGATGAGATCTATAAAATGTTGGTATCCAAAAAATTATGAAAGTTAATAGAAAATTTGCCCTTACCATTCCTCCTGAAGTCGGACGCCGATCTAAGAAAAGCCGAAGAAAAAGGATACAATCGCTTAGCTATCCGCAAGCCCCGAGATAAGGACGAGGATTATCATTGACAGAGACGAAAGTGTCAATATCCACGAACTGTTCTATAAAAACGGCAAATGGCCCGAGACTTTCGGGTCTATACTTGGCACCGACGGCATTAATAATACTATCCGGTACAATAACTCCGATGGCCATGATTGAAGATCGTGAATCGATACAGAGCTGCGCAAAATGCCTGACGGATTACCGTCTCCTTCTCTCTTCTTTCCTCTAAGTGGCATACCTTCAGTCTCCGAGATAGAGCGAGATTTAATTGGCCTCTTTCTCGACAATTGAACTTCTGGAGTGCCTCCTGCAACAACAATACGAAACTCTGGAATGCGAACGTTCTTACCGCGTTCCCGTGAACATTCGTCACCCGAACGGCGAGCTTCACCGTTCCATCGGAGACCAAATACAACGGCTCGTGTGCCGTCCGGCGAAATGTCGCGACTTAATCACAATATCACACCAGAGGATACTTGGCATCGTAACTGCGACCTCGACCGAAGCAATCATCACTCCACGCACATTATTTTGTTCTTTTTCTCTTCTTTTGTATGTTGTTTGCGTATAAATCAATAAATAGATAAATAAATAAACATATACATACATATATATAAGCGCTTTAATTACATTTGTACAAGAGCATTTTTTCGGTATGAACGTATATAATTATGTATGATTATATATGTTCACATACACATATAGAGAAAATTCATATATAATTATATTTTCCTAAGATGTTAATCCCATCACGAATTACATCAAACTAATTAGAGGCTATCTATATTTTAAAGGGACCTGTATTGATCCTTTCTAAACAAGGCGGTGTGAATATCGAAGACATCGCTGAAAGAAATCCTGAAGCTATATCATACATACCGATCAACGTGAATAAAGGCTTAACGGCCGAACAAGCGAACAGCGTCGGCGATACACTAGGATTGACAGGAGCGAGCAAGGAGATCGCGTCAATCGTCGCCTGTAATCTGTACCAGCTGTTCATCGAGAAGGACGCGTTGCTTCTAGAAATCAATCCATTCGCGGAAGATATTTGCGGCGAATGTAAACGCAAATAAGTTGATAAACATAATAACACTTTTTTACTCAAATTTTGTTCTTTTATTACGTTTATAAATGCCTTTAAATTAAATTCATTATCTCTTAAGTTAAAATTAACTAATCATACGCATGCACGCACGCACGCACGTAATTATGCGAAAGAACAAATGATAAATATATTTATAAAAAATAGTGCGTTACCGCCACAGTTCAAGAGCATGTAGTAATCATCAAAACAAAAAGTCTTAATGAATCTTAATAAATCTGGATCCAAAAATCATTCGTTTTAGAAATATTTCTTCATTTAACTCGGACAAAATTGTGTGTATCTAAATATCTATCAAATAAGTCGCTATATTTTAGCACAATCATTACAAAATCTAGCAAAGTAAATACAATTCTAACACTATTATAACGCATTAAATATATACCATAAACAAAGAGTATCTCACTGACAAGAAAATATAACTTCTAAATGAATGACTTTTAGATCCACGTTTGTTATGTTTATTATATTTCTTTTTCTTCCATTGGCGCTACAGCCCCTTGTAAAAGCCTACTTTCTCACATATGCATGTGTGCGCACGCAGATTATACACATGCATACGGGGAACCTACAGTTTAAACGCCGGTTCTGAACGGCAAATTTTTGGAGAGAGGTTTCCATGGCATGAATACTATTTTTGATGGTTTACCACACTACCGAAGAGGAGCCACGAGCACATGGAAATTTGTCTGACTCTGCCGGGAATCGAATCCGGGACTTTTATAACATAGCAGGCCAGTGCGCTGTCATGCCACGCTCGCGTTCATTAGTTATATTTATTGTGTGTTTAATACATTTCGTTATTTTGTAAACAGCTCACGGACAGAACGTCTTATATTTCCGAAAACGAATAATTTTTGAACCTATGTTTATTATTTTTGTTCGTTTTGATGAGTTTGCTTTGATGCCTACATGTTCCTGAAATTTAGTGGCAATGTTTTTAAATATTCTCTATATAATTGCTTTTGTTTATTATATTTATATGATAATTGTATATTGGATTGCCACAGATTACGCTCTGGATTGCAAATGCAGCTTTGATGACAGCGCCGCATTCAGGCAGAAGGAATTATTCATGTTTAAAGACACGACCCAGATGGATCCGAAAGAAGTCGAGGCGGAGAAGTACGACTTAAATTACATTACTTTAGATGGAAACATCGGTTGCTTGGTAAACGGTGCTGGTCTTGCTATGGCCACTATGGACCTCATAAAATTCTTCGGCGGTATGCCAGCAAATTTCCTAGACGTTGGTGGCACCGCTACAGTCGCAACTGTGACGGAGGGTTTCAAGATATTGTCTTCGGCTGAAAATGTAATTATTTTAATTTATAATAATCAACACATACACAGATTATCGAAATCATAAATTGGTCAAATTCTATGCCAGATGCTGTTGTGACTAATAGTAAAATAATACTTACAATTGCTACTTGTTGAAAAATTATTCGTACATGATTATGTATGGTTGTATATAATCATACAAAATTATGCATGAAATTTGTCCATATATAATTGATATATAATTAAATAATTATTTGTATATTTTTTTTAAAAACTTTTGGCCATTTCCTCTACGTTAAAAGTTAAAGAAAAACTTGTTGAGACCTTTTAATATGCACAGAGAAGAAATTGTCGCTTCATATCACTCCGTGGTTTTCCACGTGAATAGGTTATCGACCGCCGGTCAGGATGGATACCATGGAGCTATATGAAATGACATTTCTTCTCTGTGCATGCTAGAAGGTCTCAGCAAATCTTTCCTTAAGTCTCAACGTAGAAGAAATGGCCAGCAATTTTTTAAAAGTACAATAGTAATTACTTAATTATATATAAATTATATATGGACAAATTTCATGCATAATTTTGTATGGTTATATATAACCATATATGGGCTGTGTTCAATTTGGGCACTTATGCGCTATAAGCGTCATTTTACATTTATTGTCCTTTATGCCAAAGGGAAATAAAATTATGCTTACAGCATGTAAGCGTCTAAATTGAACACAGCCATAATCATGTATAAAAAATTTGTTAAGGAGTAAATGGAAGTTATAATAATAATAATAATAGTATAATAATATTATAATAATAGTATAATAATAATAGAATAATAATAATAATAATTGCAATTATCCCCCTAGGTGGAAGCTATTCTAATTAACATCTTTGGTGGCATAATGAGGTGTGATATAATCGCCCAAGGCATCATCAACGCTTTTCAACAGATGGATTTAAAGATACCTGTGGTCATGCGATTACAGGTAGTTGCGTTTAAAATTGATCTTTGTCCAATATTACGACACTATAATATCATTAATTTTTTTTCCTTCAGGGTACCAATGTGAAGGAAGCTAAAATAATGATGGCAGATTCTAAACTAAGATTTTTTTCGGTAGATGATTTTACCGCAGCAGCTGAGACATCCGTCAAGTTAGCACTGATGATGAATCTCGCAAAGTCTTTAGATTTAGATATTAACATCAGTATGAAATCACCGAATAAGAAAGCACAATGAACGTTCACGTTGCGATGACTATTCATAGAGAAGCTGTTTGAATGGGGACGTTCTTCTTCATCCGCCGTATTCTCCCGACCTCGCCCTATCTATTACCTATTTCTCTTTTTGAAAAATGTTCTCTGAGACAAAAAATTCCGGCTCTTTAGGAACCTCCAATATTCACTTCGATCAATAAGAAACCTTCGTTTTGGAACAAGAGCATCACGCAGCTATAGGAAAGATGCTCCAAAGTCACTGAACAAAGTGGTACATATTTGTTTCAATAAAGTTACTCTTTGAATAAAATATTACGTCCTGAACTATATTGAAGATTTGAAACGAACTTTCCAAACAACCTAATACATGTGAATACATTCTCGCTAAAAAGAAAGAAAAAAGTAAAAATTACATTTCTGCAATAATAATTAATTTGCACAATTGAAATAAAACGATCGTAACAGACTTATATCGTGTAAAATTGTACGTAAACTATAAAATAGCTTGATGTAATAAAATAAATTCTTTTAAAATGAAATTTTACATAATAAATTAGCATGTTAACTGTTTCGCACGCGAAACGATTCATATATAAATGTACTTTCTATCCGTAATTAACGAAGAAATGTATTAAAAACTTTCCTCTTTCTCTTTATATCTATCCGTAATTAACGAAGAAATATATTTAAAACATTCCTCTTTCTCTTTATATCTATAAAATAAATCCTCTTATACAGTTTTCATGCATTTATAATTCAATTTCCATAGCTGTTGTCTTGTTATTGTCATTATTTTTATTTCCACCATCACTAATTATTAATGTTCTATCGCAAGTAACACACACATACACACACATATACATATATATGTAAGAGGTTGGCCAGACTTTGTATAAAGAAAAGTGGCTTCCTTCTAAAGATCTCATAGTAACGATGAGTATCAACTGATAGGGAGAGACGTGTTTCTTTTCGACACACAACCCTCTGTCACATGCCGCTCGCTGCATGCTGTGTCAGGCTCCGCCTTTAGAAATCAGTTGATGCTCATCATTGCTAAGAGATCTTCAGAAGTCAGTCATTTTTCTTTATACAATGTCTACCATTTTCCGTGCGTTCATTAGCTCAGAGAAAATAATTAATTCCTCGCTAACTATTGTGAATTTTGCAAAATGGTACATGACTGAGCGCGAGCGTGGTGCGGCAGACAGCGCACTGGTCCACCACACCAGCAGAGGTCCCAGGTTCGATCCCCGACAGGACCGGAAAAATTTGTATACGCTCGTGTCTTCTCTGGACGGTCTGGCTGGCAAGCCACCAGAGTATATTTGCCCCACAGTACCTCTCGCAAAAATATGCCATTCGGAATCGGCGTTAAACTGTAGGTCCCATATGCCTATGTACAATCGGCATACGCAACATGCGCATAAGAGGAAAAAACAGACCATAAGGTCTATTATAAATAGAAGAAGAAGAAGGTACATGACTTTTCCGCTCAGTTTCTATTTGCACATCACGGGAACCGAGATTAGTTTGGGACACCCTGTAGAAGAAATCGACACGTATACGACAGTTGTTTATTGTTTGCCACACAGAGCACTGTCCGAGAGCCGAGCTTTTCTATTGGCAAGTATCCTACGCGGGCCTTCGCGTCTCATCCGTCATTCTAATCGTGTCAAATGTCCGGAAATCTATCTGGCAGACGTTGGCGAAAATACACGTTTGCGAGCTCACGAGAGCACGTGAGTCAAAACACGAGGAACTATATATCCTGCCCGTGTGTGTTTTTATTAAGAGATTTACCGGGGGTAACTATCAACTACCTTCTTCCAACTGCGGATGTACAGTGGAACTGCGACGCTCGCTTTCTCTGAAAAATATCGCAGATCGAAAGGAATTTGTCGATTTTCAGGATAACAAAAAAGATAGAGAAGACACAAGTTTGCAGATGCGCGTGATACGCAGCAAGCGCTGGTCGTACGGAAACAGCTACAAGAAAAATGATTGTTCTTCAATAGCAAACCGATAATTTTGTCATATTCTTGTAGTTTTTCTCTGTTAGGTGCGCGGCAAAAGCGAGCACACTTTTTCTGCGAAAAATGAAATGCGACGCGAAGTTTCTTGTTTGCTATGACGCGGATTAGATCGTCAGTGATTCGACAAATCCGTGAGGGATGTAAAAAGTATTTAATAAATCTCGACGTAATATGGTCTTCCAATTTTGCATGAATAATTTCCCGCGAAGAAAAAGACTATATATGAAATTTGTCCATATATGACTATATATATAATCATATATGTCTATAACGAAAAAATACTGTTGTTTACAAATTATATGCAAATACAATCGAAATAAATGCTTCTAGCTACTTCTGACAGCATGATATCGACATTTAATTTAATGACATAACATCATTTTTTTTCGTACTGATTTCTTATGAATATATGATCATATACGTAACCACATACATAAGTAAAATTCATATATGATTTTATATAATTATAAATTATCATATATAATCATTTTTTCCCGGGTCATGAGCCTCTTTAAGGACACTTCAAGTGTCTCTTGAATTTTACTAACATACTTTGCATTTCAGTTCTTGAACATTTGATTTCTGATCGATGCACTTTAGCTACAAATATAAAATATTACAAACGAACAGAGGTGTTTATCTTAATTAAATCTGATTTTCGACATATTATTGGGTTGTTCGGAAAGTCCGTGCGGATTTTTCAGTAGATGGCATTCAAATGTAAATTTTAGAAGGTTAGGTTAGTGCAATGCGTGTCAAATGCGTATATGTTTTCATATAAATGATGTTTCGGTGCGTATTTTATGATAATAGTTGTTGTGATCAAATAAAGGTATTTATTTTAGCATCAGCTTCAAAATGGAAAGAAATAACATGTTTTTTCGGCGCATAAAAAAGGGTCTACAATAAGAATTTAAAGTCTAAGTTTTAAGAAATTGACCAATCATTGTAGAATATGAGGAAAATAGTCGACTGTGATTGATGTCGATTTCTTAAGGCTTAGAGTTTGAAGCACCTATTGCAGACCGGGATTATTGCTTTTTTATTTCCGTAAGGGCAAAAACGCGACGCAACTCGAAACAAGAAATGTGCTGTTTGCGGCGGCTGTAAGCGAACGCATATGTCAGAAATGGTTTGCCAAATTTCATTCAGGAGAAATGAATATCGAAGATGCTTCTCGCTCTAGTCGGTTGGTCACTACGGATGTCGACCAAATAACGGCTTTAATCGCTTCTGACCGACAAATAACAACTCGGGAAATCGTAGCGAGGTGAAAAGTTTACAAAACAACTGCTTCGGAACATCTAAGCAAATTTTCAATGGTAAAAAACTTGATGTTTAGCTGCCGCACAATTTGACTGAAAAAAATCTCGTGGATCGCATTTCCATCTGCGATATGTTATAAACGCAACGAAAACGCCATTATATATGTTTGATCCATTTTTTAAACGAATTGTAACAGGTGACGAGAAATGGATCATTTATAAAAACATAAAGAAAGAGATCGTGGAACAAGCGAGATGAATCATTATTAATTTCGTCAAAGCCTGGTTTGCATCCGAAGAAAGTCATGCTCTCCATTTGGTGAGATTGGAAGGGAATCGTGCATTATAAACTGCTATCAAACAAGCAATCCATCAATTCGAACAAATACTGTTCGCAACTGGACGAATTAAAGGCAGAAATCGACAAGAAATGTTCGGAATTAATCAATCGGAAGAGTGTCGTTTCTCATCACGACAACGTTAGGCATTCTTTACAGACCCGGCAAAAATTGTTAGAATTTGGCTCAGATGTTTTATTTCATCCATCATATTCACCCGACGTAGCATCTTCCGATTACTACTTATTCCGGTCTTTGTAGAATTCTCTTAATGGTATAAGCTTTGTTTCTTTGGAACGCATCAAAAACTATTCGGACTTCTTCGCCGAAAAAATTCAGGATTTCTACAGGAGAGGAATAATGAAATTATTCGAAAGATAGAGGACTATTATACAACAGAACGGCGCATATATTATAGATTAAAATTATTTTTAATTAAAAAAATCTTTCATTCGAATTTTGCTTGAAAATCCACACGGACTTAGCGGACAACTCGATACTTTCAATTATTATCCAATTGTTCAATTACTTCAATTATTGTCAGTGCGCGATATGAGTAATAAAGATAATTCATCGTTTCTTTGTAAGATATAATTATACATTATTATATTAAAAAGAAAACGTGTAACTACGTCTGAAATTCATGATTTGGAAAAGAGGAAAAAAGGGAACACTGACACTACATATATGAGTATCCTATGTGAAAGAAAAAAATCACTCTTTTTCGAAATCAGAGCAATATATTAATTAATATTTCGCGGCGCAGTTCTTGGACGATCAGAGGATCTTACTTTGACGCAATTTTTCCCTTCTGTGCAGAAAAATTTTAACGCTCGGCGATTATTCCTTGGTTTAATTGTCAGAGTCGCACTTGCTTCTATTGTTACAAAGATTTTTGTCTCAATTCCAAGTAGTGAGTCTGACATCGATTTGTCCGGTGCACCATACGTTCCGACGTTTTACTGTCGCTTACTCTAGCCACGGGATTTTCATTCTCTATTTTCGTACCGCTGCAGTATAACGCTATGTTTTGCGCGAGAACACTCGTAATCGTACGATATGAGAGGTCTAATAAAAACTCGTTAGAATATTTCGCTCGTTCTCGTCTCGAATAGCCGCGATTCCATGGCAGTGATCCGTCAATTAAACGATTTTATCGTTGTTCCGCATTATATACAGGATTACACTCAATCATTTTTCATAAATGAATTTTACATGAGATTATGTCTCGTTCTATTTTTAAGTGTAATCATGTTTCATGAAGGCTATGAATTATTTTTATTACTCGCTTCATACGAATACTTGTGGTGATAATAATGATCAAAATTTTGTGCAAATATAACTTCTCACGAGACCTTAGACGTCGAATCTCTCCCAAATCGTTGAACTTCGCACTAAAGTTCGCTAATAAATGCGTCTTGGCTGCAAATACGAGGCATTACAAATGAACAGAGGTGTTTACTTCAATTAAATCGATATATCACATGCTACGCACTCTCGGCTCGTGCCGATGTATGTGCGTTGTATACGTAATATGCACCTAACGACCTTCTACTTTGAAATATCCTTAATCCTGTGAGCTTGGAGGAAATATTATTAGACGCCGCGCGCATAAGAGAGCATTTCTATCGAGTGTTTCCAAACTTTCGCGCTCTCGTGTGTCCCAATCGCGAGCTCTTGTCCAACTTGTATAGTCGGTTTCCTTTTCTCACCCACATCTTAACACGATACACATCCAATCATCGGAAAGTAACAATCTTGTCTCAAGTGAAGTTTCGCAAATACCCCGCTTTCTCCTCCGTTTCGAACGTTTTTCATCACCTCGTGGTTGAATTCGGTTTTAACGGATGAAATATCGTTCGGTTTCGCTCGCTCTTACACGAGAGCTCGCGCATCCCCGAGGTTAAAAATAATTTAATTCGAATAATAGCCAGAGAGAGAGAGAGAGAGAGAGAGAGGAGGTCCACTCTTGGTGCGTCTTTCACCACCGTTAGCAGATCCCGCGGGCGAGCCGACGCGCCTCTACAGTTGCGACCGGCGCTGCTACAGCCGTTCGCTTATCCCAGAAATAGCGCAACAAGCGCCTTCCCGAAAGCTTTAAGGCCCGCTGAAGAGGCGAGCCTTGACGATTGGCTGGAGCTTGCGGGGTGCGGCCCGGCACGCAAACCGCTATATCGTCCCATTCGAATATTACCGCGGCGTCGCATCGTCCTCGTGGCAGTGCGTAATCGGCAGCAAAGCTTTTTGCGCGGGTCCTGTTTCTCGTGCCTCGTTTTTCCCTCACTCACAACGAGACGCAAGTCCGTGCGGCATTCGTTAATTTGCGCCGTACAGTAGTAGAACACCGTATCTCTCGGTGTTCCAATTAGTATATTTTTATTAAAAATATAAAAAAAACAGTCGAATTTGCGTGCCACCATCATGGTATGTTCTATTGATGATATCGTAAGTCGTCGCCCTGGTAAACACACACGTTTTCCTACTGTCTATCTTGTACTCTATTTATTTGTTGTATTTTTTTAACCGTGCTCAGTCTATTTCTCACATTTTCTCTCTCTCTCTCTCTCTCTCTCTCTCTCTCTCTCTCTCTCCATTTGTTTTTTTCACTCTCTCTTTTTCTTTGTTTTCTTCTTTCTTTCTCTCTGGCTAATGTAGAAAGAGAAAAATCAAAAATTTAACCGTCGTTCTTGTCTTCTTTAATTCATTCTAAGGCTCGCCTTTGTGTTTTCTTTATGTATTATTTTTTACGCATCGTGATTCAGTAACAATTAACATGTATCTGATTGACGCGGTGTAAATGCCTCGAGTCGAGCCTCAAATCTGCCATCGAAGTGAGAGTGCAATTTAACTAATTTCATCGGAGCAACTGATCGGCCGCTTCCGGTTAAGAGAGTTATTTCGGTGATCATGAACGAGAGATTCTGGAAATACGTGACTGTTTCTTAGACGACGAATGATAAAGAAAAAAAGGGAGAAAGTAAAGATTCGACTGCCTCTTTAAACGTTGGACGTCTTTGAGAATGAATTCACTTCCGCCGGTTCGCGCGAATTATTCGTGTGATATGAAACAATCGATCGACCAATCCTCTTCGTGATCGCTACGTGATTGCTCAGAGTCAATGACGTTTAAAGCGGCGGTTCGAAGGAGACCACTTTGATTCATAAATTATTATCGGTAAGATCGACCGGGGTAATTGGGACTTCCAGAATTTGAGAGAGACTCAAAGATTTTTTGAGGAGAAAACATTTCAAGTTATTGCTAAGTTGGCGACGGATATATCATTAAACAGGAATCGTGAAACGATTGTTTCCTTATCAAAAAGTTCCAATTACTTCATCTTAAATATAACACATTCGGAACTGCATGTGTGCGGACTACTGGGGATCCGAAAAGATATAATTAGCTCCGACACGCATCTGGATCGTTTTCTCTCGCGATAAAATATTTCGGATTTCTACGGGCGATTTTATGAAGAAAAAAATAAACTAGACGATTCTCTGGAAGTTGAACTTGTTGTGGGAAAATTTTAACAAGGCACGAGCATTCTTTCTCAAACATAACTACCAGCTCTTAATTGGATGAATTTTCTCTTAAAATTTCTTTAACAATTAGTACATAATACTGACTATAATAAAAATGCAACATACGAAAGTCTTTGCTCATTTTCTATATGAACATATCGACGAACATATAGTTTGTATGTGCGCATACTCAGGGTTGGAAAGTAACGCGTTACTTACAATGTCATTAAAGTTACTTTTTTCAGTAACGAATTGGTAACGATTTACATTACATTTTTCATTAATACCGGTAACGAATATAACCGTTACTTTTATTGTTATTTTGCACACGTATGATATATATATATATATATATGAAACAAGTAAAAGCAAATCCTAAAAAAAGGTCGTCAATTCAATGAAACAAACTCGATGAAAAAATATCGATTCGTTTACTTCTTAAATAACAATAATGATAACGAGTTACTTTTCAAAAGTAACTTTCACAACTCTGCGTATATTTGTTGAACGGGAACACGATCCGCATCTTTATCATTGCCTTTCGTGATGCTTACAGGCTGACGAGCTGCCGCCGGAACAAATTGCCGGTACGTAACTTTCAATTATTCGTAAAGACTTGCCAGTATCTAATAAAGTCTCTATAATAATCCTAAATGTATTATCGATCAAAATCACAAGATTGAAAAATATTATTGATCATCTTATACGCGAAGTAACTCTGTCGTCACGATTTTATCGAATATTCACTTCGCATAATTTTTTCATGACACCGCAACAAAAGATTATAAAATTAAGACATACGTGTCCGAATGGAAGCTTGCAAATTTGTAACATACAATTTGTAAGAAAAGAAAATGAAAAAAAATATACTGATACAAAAGTGAGAAAATAAACTGACAAAGATACTTCAGCTGAGTTGCGTAGGAAAAATATCAAGGAGAAGTTTATGAGAAGGAGAAATGGGGGGAGAGAGAGAGAGAGAGAGAGAGAGAGAGAGAGAAGAATTTATTGGAACAGTTATCGGAAGACTAAAAGTAGAAAATCCTTTATATCGGAACGTATAGGCGTACATCGATCGTATCGTAGCCCGGATAAATTTTCATTGCTTTCACCGTCTTTACCCAAGTTTATTTACGCTTTAATTCGATCGGAGGCAGCTGCGCCGAGAGTGCGTCTATGTATAGCTTCTTCGTAGCGGCCTCAGCAAGGGAAACGGCTTTGTATCTCGCGTTATACGACGATCGATTCAACGAATATATCGAATTGATAAAAATAGGTGAAAAAAGAAAAAAAAGTAAAAGTAAAAGGAGAGGAAGAGAGAAGGAGAACGTCTTGCTCTCTCTCTCTCTCTCTCTCTCTAGCAAAAAGCCAGGAAAATAAACGCTCGTAATTTCGCGACAGCGCGTGATTCCAGCTGTTTGCGGACGGATCGTCTATGGTCATCGTCGCTCGGTTCTAAGAGATTTTAAAACGGACTGTTTGAAATGACCCTCATGAATCAAGCTCTTCCGCAACGCAGTAGAGCGGCTCGAGTGCTCCGCAATAAGAATATAGCTCGAACGATTCTCCGAGACCAAAAATATAATACCGACGTATAAATTTTTCTTTCGATTGGTAATGACTGAGCGGAATTGACAGACGCGATGCACGATTCCGTTTCGCGGCTTTAGGCCAAGGTGATCCTTGTTGCAACATGCAAAACCAAATAAAGTAGCGATCACGTGACATTCTCTCTAAGTTGATCTTTGTGCTATTAAATTAGACATTTATTAATATTCGCACGCGCGCGTGCGATCTCTCCGCATCTTTCGTGCGCGATAAATCGCCTGCCAATTGAGTAATTTTATATATCAAGATTGTATCAATAAGCAAAAGAAATTAGTCTCGAGCCAGAACAAACTTGTAACAGTATACCGGTGTCTTTCATTCGAAATTCCCTCGAATTTCGAATACGTTGAATCTAAGTTTACTAAGTATAGTTCAAGTTCGGTCGGACGTTGTAAAATTAAACGACGCGCGTTCTCTTCATCATACGAGAGAGTGGTATTTCTTGTTTTTATAGAGTAACAATAAGTATATCTCGTAACTATGGCGTTATATTGTTTCATGCTATGCATCCGAAACTATGCAAAATGTATAGATCGAGCTAAGAAATATGGCCGGAGGCATTTTTCAAACTATCACGTAAACGGGCAGGCTAACCAGTACAGGCAGATTGTACGACTCGACGCGGCTGGCTGAGAAAATGGCTGGCCGCTTCCGCGACTGCCTCTTAGCAGTGATATCAGAAACCAGACTCTTGCAGCATCCGGTGAAGAAAGGGAAAAGGATGGCTCCCATGTTGCGTCCCGTATACATGTGTGCTCAGCGCTCAACCAGCGCTTGATCAATCGCTTCGACTTTCGTATGGTCCGCTTTGTGCGTGCGCTGGTTCGTCCATTTTCCTTAACAACTTGAAATTGTATGTAGTAGTTCGAAAAATTACTTCGGTCATATTTTTCAATTTGATTCATTGCATCCATTTGGCATGGTTTCGAAACGCGTTGCGTGGGATACTCTGTGAATTAGCTTTTCTAAATCAACGTTTTCGCGGAGAAGGCTATGTCGAGTATCGTTTCTTCGCAGCAGTGAGCGACACTTGATATTTGATGCCTGAACTTTAATTAATATAAAGTGCAAAAAGCGCAGTAAAGCGTTTCGGGAAAGAATGAAAATATTTCCTAAGGCCCAGGAACACGCCAGTGGTATTTTAACTTGCACATATCACGTTGGTTAAAAATCAATTTGTTGTGTCGAGCCAAATAATAAGTTCAGCGCCAGCCGTGTCGTGTTAACGAACGGGTGGTTCAGTCTAAAATATCGCCTCAGAAAAAGTCTTTAGCCGCTTGACTCATTATTAATGAAACCCGCTCTAAAAGAGGACACGGTCAGTTTTTCGCTTTATCTTGCCGTATCTTCCGTGAAAAATCTCACTTCGATTGAGGTTGTGCTTCTTTGCGTACAAAGAGGTGATATATTGCTTGGGTTTAGCGAAATCGAAGTTCGTATTAATAGTTATTATTTGAAACTTGTTTCACGTGAGATCTGCTCAAATCTGAATTTATAATTACCTTTGGATTTATCATTTTTCAATTATATAATACGTGCAACATTATACATTTGTAATTGTGATTTAAAAATGCAGTTGAAGAATTCACATCTAACGCTAAATTCAAATCTAAATATCTTACCTGAGACAAAAGTTTCAAGTAATGGCTGTTAATATTAGTCTGGATTGCCCAGATAAGGCGCATTAATGAGGCGCGCTTTGACTACAAGTAAACAGAATTTATCTCTTGCAGTACTGCGCAAAGCTTTCGACAGCTTTGATAGGGATAAGAAAGGTAGCATTCCCACCGAGATGGTAGCCGATATCCTTCGGTTAATGGGTCAGCCGTTTAACAAGAAGATCTTAGATGAACTTATCGATGAAGTTGACGCCGATAGTAAGTATTATATACCAAGGACGTAACTAAGGTTTCAGTCAAAGGGGATGGGGACAAAAATTAATTTTTACTAAACTAATTAACACATTTATATTAAAGTCATTCTTTACGGATCTTACTAATAAATTTTTTATCTTACTAATATACTAATACTTATACTTCCAGCCTCTTTCTTTTCGCGAGCACCATTTTTCTGTACACTTTTAGCCTATACAGGGTATACGAAAAGTGTCGGAAGAGTATTTTCGAAAAAATGTTACATACAAAAATTATAGGATTTTAAGTGGCGCATTAGATAGCAATATTACCAGTATGACCTTGAATAGCGTTTGTAAGATCACATAAAAATTACTTGGAAATTTTCTAATGGAAATCTTTACTTTGTATTGCATATTCTTCTAGCTAACCTCAAGAGTTTTTCAACACACTAAGTTATTTTTCATAAAGCACTTTTCGAATTGTAAAACTTGAAAGTTACCGCCGGCATTAGCATTACCCTAAAGGACTGTCTACATTGGAAATAAGCAGTAATAAATAAGGAGTAGAGTATCGGCTAGTAGTAAGGCAGTAGGAAGTAGAATGATCTGTTTCACTTATTTCCGATGTTACACTTTATTCCACTGGAAAAAACTCTCTTACTCCGCAGTGTTACTATTTCCAATGTAGACGGTCCTTAAAATAAAGCTCGACAAGCAATGCATTTTCCAGCCGATTTTCGGAAGGCTTCATCTCGCCTTGTTCCCTTTACCTCGTCGCGTCAATATACACGGGGAAATCTCCCTTTCACGTCGAACTAATTCTGTATCACAATTCTTTTTCTTTTTTTAGTATTGAAAATGCCTTCCCTAAATACCCACTATGAAATTAATTAATGAATGCATCTTAATTGATTCCCTCGAATGTTGCGAAAAACACTGCCTCAGCCGGCAATCTAATTTCTTCATTTGCCGGACGGAACGCCTTACTAATTAAAAATATAATGGCATTTAACCACCGTGTTTGGCTGTTACTGGCCTATTCTAATTTCTAATTCTATCCAAGACCACATTAATATTGCTATCTAATGTGCCACTTAAAACCCTACAACTTTTGTATGCAACATTTTTTCGAAAGTGCTTATTTTCCGAAATATTAAGGGGTTCCGGCATTTTTCATACGCTCTGTCTACTGAGTCGATTTTCCATCATTGTTGACGGGGTTTAGCTATTTGCAACATTCTAAAAAACCTTTTAGTGGCGTTCATTGTGCACGGTTGGGTCAAGAAATGTCTGATGATGAAATTAAGAAATTTTAATTGATTTCATAAAGCATTTCTGATATTTTGCAGTTAGTTTTTAATTATAGAACATGTATTGCAACTTTCGATAGAATTTAGATTATAATGTATCAGTGAAATTTTTACTTTTATAATTTTTATAATTTAATTGTTTTCCTTAGTCAAAATTTAGGAGTTGGCAAATGCCCCCTGCCCTTCTCTTCTTTGCGTACATCATATATATCAAAGCGAGGAGATATAGAGAGAATGATACTGCTCTATTATATCTGATATAATTTGTAAGATTATTTCTTATTTGTATATCTTAACATTCTATTTATACACATTTTCACAAGTTCGTCTCTCTCATATCTTTCGCGGAGCTACAACTTTAGCCGCATTTGCGGTCTATAAACCTTTCTGCGCGTGTAATGTTTCAAATGCGAAAATATCGCGGCGACAAATACGCGAGCTAAAACACGCGGCTTTCACTTCTCGCGACTGTGAGCAATATAGATAGGTGCGGCGAGACGCATTGTTACGTTTATTTCAAGAATATTAATGACTATGTAACAATTACTTGTTTACTGATCTATTTCTAAAGTGTTTACAGACATTGCTACGCTATTGGTCTCTACGAGTTGTTGTCAAATGTCGCACAATTTAATTTACCGTAACGCGTTTCGAGAAAGGCTATTTATAGAATCCGTTGAACAGAATTCCGCGCGGACTTACACAATTCTTCGCTTATATAGAATCCGGACAGCTTGAGTTTGATGAGTTCGTCACGCTGGCGGCGAAATTCATCGTTGAGGAGGACGCGGAAGCTCTGGAAAAGGAACTTCGGGAAGCTTTCAGGCTCTACGACAAGGAAGGTAAGATCTGTGAGCGGTTTGTCAAAGGGGGAAAAAAGATTCATTGATTAGTTTATATAATCTGAGATTTTCAGTTAAGATGCAACTGACAATCAATCCTTTAGATTAACTACACTTGCCTATCGTAGGCAGCTGGCTAATGCAACATTTCATATAATATCATTAATAATATTCATATTAATAATATTTTTAATAATAATATTCATTGTCCTTGTTTATTAACGTTAATTAATTTTAATGCTTATGTCCAATTAGAGCAGTTCCTCTTTTCCGTCCTTGTAGATACAAAAATAATCTGCTAAATTCTTATTATATATCTGATAAATCCTATAAGATATGCAGATATGCAGCTTCTCCTGCCTTTCTTTGAGTTCTTGCAATTACTTTCCTATATTTGTAGCATCATTTAAACGCAATATAAGGTCGGTATTATGATATATGATTTGTGTGCATCATTTTATATATAGACATAATTACATGATATTTGTTTAGTTACGTATTTCGACTTTGCCACTTGAACTGCTTTGTTTATTGTTCTTTTATAATTCTATTCGATATCAGATTATTTACATCTTCTGATTCCACAGTATTTTATCAACACATTGTTGCTACTGGTCAGTTTATCCGCGTATAAGTTATATATATAATATTTTATATATAATTATTATATTATTATTTTTATATTCTATTATTATAAATTTATAATTTTTCTTTATGTGCGTAAAGTAGAATTTTCCTGTTTATATATATAAGTAAATAATTAATCCTGTAAAATCTTTTACATCGAGAGGTTTTATTTCCAAGTAAATCAAAATAAAAAGTTAGAACTAAAATAAAAATAGAATCATGAGGAACCATGAATAGGGATGATAAATAGAAAAGGATCTTCTAAATCTTTACTTGATACATTAGATGATTAATATTTTAAACATTTTAGTTTTGATCCAGAACCTGGTTTTATTTTCGCACATGCTTTTTCGCAGTTGATTGTTATAAACACGCGATGCATACAGATACTAATGGTTTGTTTTAATTAACGAATATAAAGTCGGTTTCACGGGAGGCATGACAAAGGTAGCTCGGAATACGTTTATAAACAAGCGCATTAAGTTCGCATTAGTTCGATATACGTTCGCGTACGTAAAAATAAGTCGGCTACGCGGAGATTCCCAAGAGCAGTCTCACGTGGCGGCCGAAAGCCAAGAATGTCGTAACACATCTTTCATGAATTACGAATTATGTCGAGGGTGTAGCGAAGGTGTATGTGTTTTAATAACCGTTGGCACCGCGAAGATAAATAACATTGCGGCCACGTAATGCTGAGAGGATAAATTTTATTATCGTTTAAACGAAAAGAATAGCAGAGTATCACATGTCGAAATAATTTCTTGGATGTTAATTATAAAGAAACGATATGGCGATATCGATCAATGGCGCGTCATGTCGGAAATTCTCGCGGGTGGTGCGAACCTGTACCCTATAAGCGTGTAATATTATTTAATATTATATATTTTTCAAATATTCAACTATATATATATATATATATATAGGGTTTTTTATCTTAAATGTATTGCAGTGCCAATTGTTTTATTATATAAATAAAGTCAAAATAATTTTGTATAAAAATACGTTTCATACGAAAAAAATTATACACACAAATATATATATATATATATATTTTTTTTATTTATATATTTTTTATATTATTATTATTTTGTTCTTTTTTTAACATTCTAAGAACATTTTTATAATATGCTAGGAATATGAAGTGGACATATTGTAGACACAACATTAATAGAACATTCCTATAATATTGAAAAATATTACATAACATTCTTAGAATATTATTTTAATATTGAATAATATTCATGTGATATCCTAGGAATATTACCCTTTTATAGGGTAAACTGGGTCGACAGCTTGATAAACTTTACTTTAATAGGTAACGGCTACATCCCAACGACATGCTTGCGCGAAATTCTAAGGGAATTGGACGATCAGTTGACGAACGAAGAATTGGACATGATGATCGAGGAAATCGATTCCGATGGCTCTGGTACAGTCGACTTTGACGGTACGTTTTTAACGCTTTCGTTTTTCCTTCTCTCAAGAAGACACATCGATAGTATTGTAATTTAATCAGCGAAGAGAGACACGTGTGCTTCCCCTAAATCTGCGATTCACTGCGTGTATAGTTTTCTTTTCTTTTCATTTCACGATTCAAATATACCAAACTGACCCCAAGAGCTGAGCAGTTATTTATACGCAGGCGAGTTGGCAGATCGAGGATGCCACTGATCTCGCGACCGTCTATTTTAATATTCTTATTTAACAAATCGCGGCGATTTATCAAGATCACGCGTCCGTTCCGCCTTCTTACGAATTTCACGTGATACTTATAAGTATTAGAATGTTAGACAACTTTGTTATTTCTCACAGACGATCTATGTAATAATTTTTTTTATTTTCACACTAAAATTCAACGCAGTGATACAGTCTAGTATTTAAATTTCTAATTTATGATTTAAAATAAAAACGAACACAATGCAAGAGACTACCATATGTATTCAACATAATAATCAAACAAAAAATTCTTTGTCGTTCTTTCTACGAACTCATGTCGTATTTTTTCTCTTTTCCAGAATTCATGGAGATGATGACTGGAGAATAATTACTAAGCATGAAAGGGGTGAATTGCTTCCGGATCCAAAGACACTTGTGCGCATGCCACGTTACGCCCTGAAGCTAATCATTCGCGTGTTTATGAGGAATCAATACACAACAAATTTATTCGCACAGAGATATTTCCACATTACGATCAATTTCTAGAAGCAAATTCCTCTGCCACGAATATCAATTCAATATATATATTTTCTTTGCTTTTATACATCTATCATTATACATTTATTTATAAAGAGACGAGCTTTATTTTGTTTCATATACTTACATGATGCCTCGGAGTATTTTCATTGACAGTATATTTATTGTTATTAATAAAACAAGATAAAAGTCTCATGTCTAGAGTTACTTGGTAATATTAAACATTTTTCTTCAATACATTAAGACATAGTAACATTGTGGGGCTAATCTTCTTTTCAGCTCTTTGCGTTCAGTTTTCGTAAGAACGTTTACATTTTTTTATTCTCTCTCTCTCTCTCTCTCTCTCTCCCTCTATTTGTCGTTTTTAGATATAAAAATACTTCGGATTTTAATAACAACTCTCAACACACAATTTCCATGTCCGTAGGCAAAATATCACGTATAAATAATTTTATTATTATTATGTAAATTTAGTTCTCTTTTTTCCTCTCTCTCTCTCTCTCTCTCTCTCTTTCTCTCATATATTAAACTTATTATATTTATTATATATTAAATTTATTCTATTTATTGTTAATATTTACACATAATTTATATGTGAATATTCAATTAAATTAGAGTTCGAATTTTTGATTATGGAGAAAAGGAAAATTAATAATGTGCGTGAGTTACGAGCTAAACTTTTTATTTATTCAACATTCGATTATAATCACAATAAACTTGAGATTCGTTTATAATTGACATATTGATGGTTGCAAACATAACGTAGAATAACATGCTTCAAAAAATAGAGTCACTAATCATAGACTAGCAAGTTTACTGATTGCAGT